CCCTGTCTCGAAAAACCAAAAACAAACAAAAAATCAAAGACCTGAAGAAGATAGCATTTAAAATGTTTTAAGAACTTAGACTTTTTTTGACGGTGAGACATGTCTGCTTCTGGCAGTACCAATTACTTCACAGAGGTTGATGGGCATCGAAGAAACTCATTATGAAATTTGACTTTAATATGACAAGGCTAGCTATTCGGGCAAGAAACTGCTCTTGCCTGGACTGCTTGATGGTATGCTGTATAAACTGGACATGCAGGACCCACGGAAAAGTGGCTGCTGAACTTTCAAAAAGACATAATGATCCTTCAGGGTTCCTGCTTCACAGAAGAAACTGCCAGACATTCTGCAGGATACAAAATAAAGCAACCGATGAACTTTTCCCGTACAAGGAAAAATAGGTCTTCAACTTTTCTGCTTCATTAAAAAGTCTGCAAGATACTATAGGCCTGTAGGCTAAAGATGGATGCCTCAATGTTACCGAAGAACTTTGTGTGACTGTCCAGGCGGCAAGATGTCTTGACAGAGTTGAAGAACAAATAGTTATAGTTTTATTTATAACAAAAGATAATTAAATGTAAAACTTTAGACTTACAAAAATAGGATATTATTTTCCTTAATTTGCTGAATATAAATGAACTAAATATTGTAACTATAATTCTTGCTTGACAACTTTTTGTATATGTAATTTTACTATATTAAAGTTAGAACTTTTTATTTAGACAGAAAAGGGGAGATGTGGGACTCCCCTCTGTTTTCTATGAATATGTTTTATTACCATTGGTTAATAAAGAAGTTGCTTTGGCCTACAGCAGGACAGAATGTAGCCAGGCTGGAAGAGATACATATAGAAAGTAGGTGTAGTCAAAGAGACACCATGTAGCTGCCAAAGCAGAAAGATGCATGGTAACCTTACTGTTAGGCCACAGCCTCTTGGTGATACACAAAGTAACAGAAATGGGTTTATTTAAGATGTAAGAGTTAGTTATAAGAAGCCTAAGCTAGTAGGCCAAACAATGTTGTAATTAATATAGTTTCTGTGTGATTATTTGGGTCTGGGCAGCTGGAAAAAGAGAAAGCAGGCTCTGTTTACACTGTCCAGTTTTTAATATTTGATTACTAGTGATTCATAAACTAAAATGGTCTTCCTTTTTATTATTAGCAAAGGAATGCATGCAGAAACTGTTGTCCTGGCAAATTACTGTGTTGCTAGTAACACTATGATTGGTGCTCTGTTTTATAATTTGTTTGATAAAATACAAGACGTGTATTTGATAAAATACTCTCTTTTGATCCCAATATGCAGTTGCACTGGTATATACTTGAAGCCATAATCTTAAAGGAGAAGAAGTGTGTGTTCATGAAAATGTACCTGCAGGCAGTATTTGTAATCGAGAAAATCAGATAGAAATTGAGTATTCTACAGTAGAGTAATAGTCAAGTAAATATAATGATGCTCAAAATGAGAAATAAAAGACAATACAAATCAGAATACATTAAGATGAAGAATATGTGATTGCTTTTAAAAATGGTTCATGTAGCATCACAATAATATCATTGGGGCTGGAGAGAGCTCCGAGGTAGAAAGTTGCCTACCCTGCACAAGGCCTGGATTGTATACCCCATAAATAATAGTTTTAACAGTTACCAGGAGTTGAAAAATCCACCCAAAAGTCTTTTCCCATGAGGCCATTTCTTTGGTCTCTTTGAACCTGCTCCAGGGACAGCGCTTTTCTTAGTCTTTTCTTGTTCCTGTTCTCTGGCAGATCCTTTGCAGTCCTGGCTAATCTCCTATTGCCATTTCATCACCCTCTGGGCAAGGCTTTTCCAGAAGCTGGATATCACTCACATGTATGAGTCAATGAGTCTTAGCTCCTTGGCTGTCTTAAGAAAGGTGTCTTTGAAAGAGATTGATATTAAGGACGGGGGCAGCACTTCTGTAGTCTTGTTTCTGATCTTAGTTGTTTGGTTGGAAGAGGAAATTGTGTTGTCTTGCTTCCATTTCTATCTTTAGTGTGCTTTCGGACAATCTGTAAGGAGATTCCCATATCCTCAGGAAGAAGCCTTTACAGCCCTGAGCTATTTGCCAGGCAGAATGTCTGCAAAATTAAGAGTCATCAACATGCCTTCTCCAAGTCCTGAAGAGCCTGCTGAGCTTCTAACAGAAAAGACAGAGGGGTGGGCCTGTGGTCAGGACCAGAACCTTTGCTGGTGCAGCTCCGCCCACGATTTGACTACTGAGATTCACCTGAGTCCAGGAGGCTCTGCAATGCTGCGGGAACTTTTGTCTTGCTAGCCTGCTTTAGTTACTTTTCTACTGCTGTGGCAAAGCAGCATGACCAAGCTAACTTTTTTGCTGTTTTTCTGAGACAGGGTTTCTCTGTCTTAGATCCAGCTCTGTAGACCAGGCTGGCTTCGAACCTACAGATCCACCTGCCTCTGTCTCCTGAGTGCTGGGATTAAAGGCGTGCACACCACTTCATTTATAAAAGAAAACATTTCATTTGGGGCTTAGGGTTCCAGGGGGCAGTAGAGTTGATGGCCATCATGGTAAGGAATTTGGCAGGCAGCCATGATGGTGGAGCAGTAGCTGAGTGCTTACATTTGACCCACAAACAAGAGGCAGAGATTGGGAGAGGGAGGGAGGGAGAGAGGGAGGAGAAACTAAAGGTGTGAGCCACCGCTGTCCAGCAAGATGCTATGTCTGTGCAAGTGTGATGGAGACAGAAGAGGTTGTTGGATCCCCTAGAGCTGCGTTATACTTGGTTGTGATCTGGGAACTGAGCTATGGGTTCTCCAGCTCCAGTCTGCCCCAGTTTGACTAGATCTTTAAGAAGACCAGGGATATGATTCTAGAAAGAAGCCCTCATACTAGGGCTTGAGATGACAGTTTTCTAAAGTGAGTGCCTTCAAAGAAGAGGTGCTGCGAGGCAATTCTCACTGGTCCCCACTTTAAAACTGAGAATGGAGTCAAGAGGCGAAGCAGATTACAAAATGCCACATTTTTACTTGAGTATGTTTTTTCTTTTTGTTTTTCAAGATTTATTTGCTATAAAATCTCTTAAAGAAACAAAACAGTAGGCTCGAAAGGCGGCAGGGAGCAGCCAAGCTGGATCCTGGCTTGAGGCAAAAGCGAGTGAACTGCTGGACAAAAGCCTCACAGTGAAGGAAGGCCTTAGCAGGGGCTGTAGGAAGGTGAGCGCTTGCTGTGTGGCCAGCTGCTTGTTTACTGTTCCCATTCACTACCCGAGCAGAGGCCAGGACACTTCGCAGAGGCCCTTTCCCGAATGAGACAATGATGCAAAGCTTGGGATCTTTTAAATGGTCTGCAAGGCTTTCCAAAACAGGGCTCTTTTGTGCCATTTCTGAGACTTAACATGTGACCTAGCAAAGGTTGCAATGTGACCAGCTAGCAATTCATTCACTTATTCAAAGAAATTGTACTGAGTTTTCTGTGTACCAGCCGGCATCCTGAGACTAGGTGGGGGTGGCTGTGGAAACCAGGACAGAGACCTTCACAGTACTTTCTAAGCAAAACTATGTAATTCGATCACTTCTAAGAATGCCCCTAAGCATGTGGGGACGAACATTGGCCAGAGAGGCTTAGGCTCCACAATAAGCCCTAGTCATAGTCAAAGGGGAAAAGCAAGCAACAGACTATAGTCGACCTGCCGGGCAGTGGAACACATTTTGGTGTCATAGTTAAGGTAGCTGAGATACACTGGACTTTAAATTGGGGAATGAGGCGCTCCGATTGATTACACCTGCAGCTGCTTTGTGGCATGAAATAAAAAGCATGCGTAGATTCTACAAATTCCCTGTGACTACTAGCCGAAGTTCGCAGCTAGTCTCATCTGTTTTCTTTGATAACTTGAGGTCATTTTTGTAACACAGCTAGTGGGAGACAACAGTTTGAGCCATGTTTAGGTGCAAACCTTCCTACTTTCGGCCCTGAAGCGGGAATAGTCAAAAGTTCCTGCACTATAGGATGTGAGGGTAAAGAAGACTTACACAAGAGAGAGCAACTGTGCCTGGCCCGACTGTGACAGGCTTTCAGAAATGTTCACTTCCCTTAGTTATTTCAGAGGGCTCCTACGAGGAGTATGGGACACTCGGGAAACTGCCGCCCACTTTCCTCTTGCTCCCCTTTCCTTCTCGTCGAGTGGAACAGAGAGCAGAGCCCACTCCGGCAGAGGCGCAAGGCCAAGCTCGGCTTCAATGCGGCCATTGTCATCAAGCCGCACCTCCCCCGCTTGCCGCGCGTCCCCATGGCAACTCGGGGCTTCGTCTGCCCCCCCAATACCCCCGCCCCCAGTCCTGCGGACCGGAAGCCGGGCGCGCCGGGGGCTTGTGGGAAGAGGCTGTGAGCGACGGCGCAGCGTCTGCCCGGGACGGCGAGGCTGCGGTGGGTCCCGAGCCAGAGGTCAGCGGCGTGCGGAGCAGGGTTCGAGCAGGGGCGCTGGGCGGGGCGGGGCGGGGCGGTCGGACAGCGACCGGCGTCGTTCGGCGTCTCGGGCGTGCGCGGAGAAGGCCGCGGCGGAAGGGCGGCGGCGGCGGCTTGCCGTACTTCGGGTGTCCGCAGAACCCCAGCGCCCCCGTCCTCGCCGTCATGTCCTCCCCTCCCCCACCGACCGGTTTTGTTCTATTTCGAGGCTCTATCGACTCGCGGAGGGTTCTGGGAATCGCTCAAGCCGAGGTGGGATCCGGTCGTTCTCGCGCACGGCCTTCTGGGATTTGTAGTCCCGCCGGTGCAGGACGGAAACGCCAGTCCTGGGTAGTGGGGTGTTGTGGGGCCTCTGCGGCCCTTCGCGGTGGTTGCTGGGAAGAGGACATCGGCCAGAGTTACTGGGGCTGGCTGGGCTCGGCGCTGTGAGGCGGGAGGTCTTTGAAGACCAGGATCCCGCCAGGTGCTCAGCGGCGTTCCTCCTCGTCCCACGAGCCTGGTGCAGTACAAAATAGGAGAAAAAGCAATTTTTCTATTACGTAGAAATGTTTGAGCCGTTGATAGGGTCGGGTCCAGGAATAGGAACAAATAACTTGGATTTTGCTATCAGGCCATCATTCCACTCAAGAATATTTAACGGATCTATATGGTCTGTCTGTTTGATACGGTGTTTTCTGATTCTTTGTCTTCACCTTGACAGGTTTCAGTAAGGTTTTCTTAAGTTTCTGTTTTTTATATTCTTGGCTCTGATTAAATAAATAGTGGCTGTAAAGGTTATTCTTCCTCTATTTTTTTTTTTTTCAAGGCAGGGTTTCTCTGTGTAACTCTGGCTGTCCTGGAACTCGCTCTATAGACCAGGCTGGCTTCGAACAAGGAGATCCACCTGCCTTTGCCTCCTTAGTGCTGGGATTAAAGGCGTGCGCCACCACTGCCTAGCTAAGCTTATTATTCGTAATGTGCTGTGAACCGTGACACCGGTATGATTTTGCAAATACTAAAAGGATGAGAAAGTAGCTCACAGATTTCCCCAAAGGAAAAGCTAGGGGAAGCTATTTAAGGAAAAAGACTCCAGGCCACCGTGAGAAGTTGTGAGTGCTTTTTCCCATAGCATTTGCTGCAGGGGATGAACTGTCGCTGTAAGTTTAAGTGCATGTATGTTGTGATGGATGCCTAAATGCCATTTGCTTTTTATGTGAAATAGTTTCTTCCCCAGTGTTACGTGATCCGTTACTGACCTGTGTAAAAGTGAATCTGTGGCAAAAGCCAGCAACGCAGTTAGCTTTGCTATGTAAATGAGGACAGTCTTGCCTCACCTAGGTGCTGGACAGCAGAACCAGCTACTAGTGAACAGAACATTTTCACAAATATTTTGTTTCAGACGTTCCTAAGCAATGCTTTTTTTTTTTAACTTTAAAGAAATAATGTGTGTTCGTGTGTGCGTGTGTGTTCACATTCTGAGCAGTAGCTCAGCAGCAGAGCAGATTTGCACGGTACTTGTATACAGTCTCTAACCACGGGGGTGGGTGCGGACAGTCAACCTGTTTCCTAATCCAGATTTATGACGACAAAAAGAAAAGTGGGTATGGGGCTTGCTCCAGCCTGACCGCCCGTGCTGGACCCCAGATTCTGCACAGAACGGGAACGAACCCTGCATGCTGTCCTCTAACTTCCACACCTGCCTGAGATGTACAAACACAAGATCAATGTCAAAAAATGTTTTAAGTGTCCTACAGTTCTGAATATTTAGCTTTTATTTTATGTATACGTGTACCATGTGTTGCCTGGTGCCTAAGGAGGCCAGAAGAGAGTTCTGGGGTGCTGGAATCAAATCTGGGTCCTCTCCAAGGGCAATAAGCCTTCTTACTTGCTGAACCAATTCTTCAACCCCAAGGGTTCAGAACATCTGGAGAACACTGCAGTTGACAGAGTCTTATGTGGGTTCTTTGGGTTATTAATTTACCTTCTGTTGACTTCATGTCACAGACTGGCAATCTTTTTCTGGAAAGGGCCAGATAGTAAATATTAAGTTGCTTTAGATCTTAGCTGAAATTGTCGAACCCTGTGAACTCTCCATTATTGCCTGGACTATGATTAAATGTAATGATTTATGGATACAAATTTAAAAAATACAGGGCTGGAGAGATGGCTCAGTGGTTAAGAGCACTGACTGCTCTTCAAGAGGTCCCAAGTTCAATTCCCAGCACCCACATGGTAGCTCCCAGCTGCCTGTAACTCCAGTTCCAGAGAATCCAACACCCTTACACAGATACACATATAGGCAAAAACCAGTGCACATAAAATAAACCTTTTTTTTTTTTTTCGAGTCAGGGTTTCTCTGTGGTTTTGGAGCCTGTCCTGGAACTAGCTCTTGTAGACCAGGCTGGTCTCGAACTCAGAGATCCGCCTGCCTCTGCCTCCCGAGTGCTGGGATTAAAGGCGTGCGCCACCACCGCCCGGCCTACCATTTTTTTATTTAAAGTATTTTTTTAATTTTATGTGTGTGTATGTATATGTGTGTGTAGGCCTCCACATATCATGTCACACTTGTGGAGGCCAGAGAATAACAGAAGAAGTAAGTTCTCTCCTATGGAATGCTGGTTGTCAGAGTCAAGTCATCAGGCTCGGCAGCAGGTGCCTTTGCTAATGGAGTGACCTTGCTGGCCCTAGACAGATACATCATATTTTCCTATCATAAAATGTTTCCATGCCTTTTAGCAATTTAAATTTTTATACTACTCTTACTATGGCTAGTGTAAGTTTTTACACTACTCTTACTATAGGCAGCAGGCTAGATTTGGCTACCTGTGGTAGCATTTCAGTCGATATAAACTATTGATTGAAATTTTTAATCCAGTAAAAACAATTTTTTTTCTGCTGCTTTCAAATATCTTGGGGTATTCGGTAATTTGTGTGTCTTTTATTTCTTATCCCTTAGGAGTACCTTTGAGGAAAGCAGAGTATTTCTGTGAGTACGGTCTACATCCTGCCTCGGCTGCCTTTCCTTGAAGGATTGTAACAGGATGTCTGCACAGTCGGTGGAAGAAGATTCAATACTTATAATCCCAAATCCAGATGAAGAAGAGAAAATCCTGCGAGTGAAACTAGAGGACCCTGATGGTGAGGAGGGATCGAGCGTTTCCTGGAATCATCTCCCTGACCCAGAGGTTTTCCGACAGCGGTTCAGGCAGTTTGGATACCAGGACTCACCAGGTCCCCGAGAGGCTGTGAGCCAGCTCCGAAAACTTTGCCGCCTGTGGCTCAGACCAGAGACACACACTAAGGAACAGATACTGGAGCTGGTAGTGTTAGAGCAGTTTGTTGCCATCCTACCTAAGGAGCTGCAGACTTGGGTTCGAGAACATCACCCAGAGAATGGAGAGGAGGCAGTGACCGTTCTAGAGGACTTGGAGAGTGAACTTGATGATCCTGGACAGCCGGTGAGCATGTTTGCCTCATTTTTCCCAAGTCAGTGGACAAACTGCGATTAACTTCATTTGACTAAGTTAAATTATGTCTGTGCCTCCCTCCTGTTCATTTGCCACTCTGCAATACCTGTGCTGCTCTGTAGTTGGAATTTTCTTTGTGCCGCCAAACAGCTCCCAAATGAAGACACAGAGACATTATTAATTATGAGTGTTCCACTAACTCCTTTAACTTAACCTGTTTCTGTTCATCTAGGTTGTGCCATGGGGCTTTTTACTTTTCTTTTTATTCTGTGTGTCCTACTTTCTTGCTTCCTTCCTGTCTGGCTGACTGGCCCTTGGTGTTTCCCTATCGTTTCCTTTTCTTCTCTGAGCCTAAATCCCTCTTCCTACTTACTCTCCTGCCCAGAAGTTCCTTCTACCTATACCTCCTCCCTCGCTGTTGGCCATTCAGCTTTTTATTAAACCAGTCAGGTGCCTTAAGCAGGCAGAGTAAAACAGCAGCACATCTTTACATAATATAAACAGATGCTGCACATCTTTACATAGTTAAACAAATACAACACTGCATAGTTAAACACTGCTCTGCTGTCTAGAACTTTGTATTGCATTTTTTTGTGGTATCTCTTATGTGCTTAGTATCAAAATTCCTTCTCAACCAAACTAAAACCATGTTTTCAGGTTTCTCTCCGCCGGCGGAAACGGGAAGTGCTTGTAGAAGAGATGTCTCAAGAAGACGCTCAGGGATTACCAAGTTCCGAGCTTGATGCTGTGGAGAACCAGCTCAAGTGGGCATCCTGGGAACTCAGCTCTCTGAGGCACTGTGGTGAGGATCAGAACTCTATGGGGCCGGCCTTTCCCAGAGTGCTTTGCTTGTTTTTTGGAGAAACAGTTTTAAACTGCTGTTTAGAAATTGCCATGCTGTGAAGAGCCTGACTTTGCTGGTGGCCGACTCAATGGCCTCGGGAGTTTTCACTCCTCGGTTTTAGCATCTCTAGCTTTTCTTTCATGACGACTGCCCATACTGGGGCTTCGGCCTGCCTGACTCTGCGCCAGCGCCTGTAGACCATGTCTGATCACACATGCCACTGCTTGTCTGCCGTCTGCATTGTGCTCTCTTGTTCTTGGCTCCTGCCTAACTGTATTAATACGGTGAACTTACTGGAAGTCTCCTTCAACCTTTTTATTTTATTACTTGAATTACTTTCTAAGATTTCAGCTATTTCTGGTTTTTTTGTCTCAATATTTTACCCCTTTTTAATTAAGAAACTTTCCCCCCATATTTTTTTTAATATTTATTTATTTATTATGTATACAATATTCTGTCTGTGTGTATGCCTGCAGGGCAGAAGAGGGCACCAGACAGATGGTTGTGAGCCACCATGTGGTTGCTGGGAATTGAACTCAGGACCTTTGGAAGGGCAGGCAGTGCTCTTAACCTCTGAGCCATCTCTCCAGCCCCCTTCCCCCCATATTTTAATTTAGTTTATGTGTATGGGTGTTTTGCCCTCATGTGTGTCTGTAGCATGTGCATGCTAGGTGCCCTTGGAACTCAGAAGAGGAAGTCAGACCCCCTGGAGCTGGAGTTACAGATGGTTGTGAGCTGCCCTGTGGGTGCAGGGGATTAAACCTGGGTCCTCTGGAAGAGCAGACAGTGCTCAACCACTGGGCCATCTCTGCAGACCCCTTAAGAAGCTTTTTAAAAAGATCTTTTAAATCAAAAGTATGTGTGCTTGTGTGTGAGGTTGTGCATGTGCGTGCAGGTCTCAGGGCAGGGGAGAGCACTGGATCCCTGGAGCTGTCGGTGGGTAATGAGCCCAGTGAGGGTGCAGGGAGCTGAACTCTGCTTTTTTGCAAGAACTGTATGTGCTCTTAAGCACTGAATCATCTCTGCAGCCCTCTAGAACTTAAAAAATAAAAATAAAAACCTCAGAAATGAGACGAGGGTAAACTCTTTACTTTTTCCTAAGTATTTATTCAAACTAGGCTCCCAAGCTATAATATGGCTTAAATGCAGAAATATCAAAGTATAATTGTTATAATTCAGATTTTTTTGTTTCCAGTATCCTGGCACTTAATGCTGTGTACTTGTTTATATGCCCTAGGATACTAAACTTGCTGTGTTGGCGTTTTGTTTGTAGGAAGTTTGTTTGAGAGTGCGTCAGTCTCTGAGGTAGATGGAGATAATGTTGGTTTGCCACACATGAGGACATGAGCAGGTTTTCTTCCTGTGTGAGGGGATGGTACTGTAAATCAGACCTGAGGCAGAGGTGCGATCCGCTCACTATTGTAGTTTTCCCTAGCTCGTGGGATGTTGTTCAGTGTGCTCTTCAGAGGTGTACTTTCATGGGTCAAAGCTGTTCCCTTCCTAAATTTTGGGATGGCTTTCCATGGTTGGCCTCATTTGAGCAGTCTAGCCGCTTTCACGTTCAGAGAGTTCCATTTATTTCATGTCACAGGTCCTCATTTGCCCTTCATACTTGACTTTTCAAGTAGCTAAGCCGCATTAACCCTTTGGGCCCTTGGGTCTCCCTCCCCCCTGCTTTCCCGCTTGACTTTCCCATGGTGGCTCCCCCGGCCACTCTCGAGTGCTGCTGCTCACCGTAGTCCCTGTTACGCTGTGTGGCCTAAGCTTCAGGGGACTGTGGGTGAGTCTTGCTCTCTCCTCTGCCCGTGAGTAGGCAGTGCTGCCACTGTAAAACCAAGGCTTTTTTCTAGACACATCTCACTCAGATTTACAAGGAACAGTGTTTCTGCCTGCTGTGACAAATAGCAAATTGGGGCGAGCTTCTTTAATGCAGACTTTTCTTTTTTTTTTTTTTTTTTGGTTTTTCGAGACAGGGTTTCTCTGTGGCTTTGGAGCCTGTCCTGGAATTAGCTCTGTAGACCAGGCTGGCCTCGAACTCACAGAGATCCGCCTACCTCTGCCTCCCGAGTGCTGGGATTAAAGGCGTGCGCCACCACCGCCCGGCTAATGCAGACTTTTCATTATGCTGTATTGAAGCTCTGAGTGTCGGCTTTAGTTAACACAGGCTGCCTCAGGTCATCCCTGGCTGTATTGAAGCTCTGAGTGTCGGCTTTAGTTAACATAGGCTGCCTCAGGTCATCCTTGGCTGTTTTTGGTTTTATTTATTCTGGGTTTTTTTGTTTTGTTTTGTTTTGTATTTTTGTTTGTTTGAGTCTTTGTCTCTGCCTGGTCTGAAGACGCCTGCCTCCTCTGGGTACTGGAGTCTAAGGAATGTGCCACCACACCCAGTTCTCGACTTCTTATCAGGACTCTGTTCTGCTTTGAGTTCAGTATTGATTGTGACACATTAATTTATTTCAGCAGCAGCTGTTGTTTGACACCTTCTTTTTGTTATTCCTTCATTTTGATATAATCTCTTAAAAACTGTTTCCTAATGGCCATCATTTTTCCTCCCGAAGTTTCCTTCAGACCTAGCCATATCAGTTTGATTTTTCACTTTTGTTTTATAACCTGTCACCTTTTTGACTATGTTCTATTTAGAAAATTTTATGTGTGTGTATTACATGTATGTGTGTATGTATGTGTGTGTATGTATGTATATGTATGTATGTCATTTGTTCAGTTGCCCAGAGAGTTCAGAAGAGGAGTTGGACCCCCTAGACCTGGAGTTGTGATGGTGGTTGTGAGCCTCCCAGTGTGGGTGCTGGAACTGAACTTGGGTCCTCTGAAGGGCCATGTGCTCCTCATGACTGAGCAATCTCTCTAGCCCCTATGTTAAATTTAGATAAAACCAGCGCACACCTTTAATCCCAGCATTTGGGAGATAGGGGCTGTTGGATCTGAGTTTGAGGCCACCCTGGTCTACAGAATGAATTTCAGGACAGTCAGGGATGCACAGAGAAACCCTGTCTTAAAAAATGAAAAAACAAACAAAATAAATAAAATAAAACAAACAAACTAGATCAGATAAGACCTTGTGTGTCGTTTTGTTGTCAGGCAGTGGCTCACTGGCCTCACCCCCCTTTCCTTTATTGAGAATTGTCAGCCTCATATATTCATAGATGTGTACGGGTTTGTTTGTTTTAGTTCATGAACAACTTTTTGTTTTGTTTTGTTTGTTTGTTTTTTTGCCAGGCATGGTGGTGCATAATTTTAATGCCAACATTAGGAGGCAGAGGTAGGCTGAATTAGTATATACATAGCAAGTTCCAGGCTGGCCGTGGCTACATAGTGAGACTTTGTCTCAACAACAAATAACCATTTTTTTTTTTTCCCATTCAAGTTCTTTTCTCTTCAAGTAGGAACTGAGTGATACTTGTATTTTCTTTTATTTCAGATGATGATGTCAGGACAGAAAATGGAGCGCTGGCTCCAAAGCAGGAGATTGCTTCCGCTGTGGGATCTCAGGAAGTTCCTGGCACTCTTAATATAGGTGTTCCTCAGATTTTTAAATATGGAGAAACCTGTTTACCCAAGGGCAGATTTGAAAGAAAGAGAAATCCCTCTCGAAAGAAACAGCACATATGTGACGAATGTGGAAAACACTTCAGCCAGGGCTCAGCCCTTATTCTTCACCAGAGAATCCACAGTGGGGAGAAGCCTTACGGATGTGTCGAGTGCGGAAAAGCCTTCAGCAGAAGCTCCATCCTTGTGCAGCACCAGCGAGTCCACACTGGGGAGAAACCTTACAAGTGTCTTGAGTGTGGGAAAGCCTTCAGCCAGAATTCTGGGCTCATTAATCATCAGCGAATCCACACTGGGGAGAAACCTTATGAATGTGTTCAGTGTGGAAAGTCCTATAGTCAGAGCTCAAACCTTTTTAGACATCAGAGACGACACAATGCAGAAAAACTTTTGAATGTTGTGAAAGTTTAAGAAATTAGGGGGAAACAATGAGCACTCAGGTCTTTTTCTTCAGAAATGAAGACAATTAAAAACATGAAGTGATAGAGAAAAGTTTTTTTCCCTGTTGACTGAGAAAATCCACTGGGAGATACAAAAAAAAAATCTTCATCATTATTATCTCGAAAGAAATGCTGTTAGGCCTAAAAACTGAAATTTTAAATAATTCAGGTATTAATACCTAAAATTTCCATGTGATATTTATATTCTCTTTTCTCCCAAGTAATGAGCTACCTAATTCTTTGTCCCTTTCTTAACAATTTCCTTTTTCAGACAAAGAGTTTATTTCTGTGTTGGTCATTGGAATGTTGTTTTATAAGAATACATACCTTTCTATTTTAAAAGGCAATGTAAGAATTGTAAAATCTAAAAGCCCATCATTGAAAAACATCTTTGAACATTTAGTTTCCTTTTGTTCAGTTTGAGTATATTTGGGGAAACTAGAAGATAAAGGCTAGTCAAAGCCTCAATGTTAAATGCGCCTTAAGATCTCAGATGAGTGATGGTGGCAGAATTTTAAAGAGTGAGGGAAAACTGGACAAGTTACACACTGAAGTGTTTCAGTTACATACAGGCATCTTTCCTTAGGAAAACTTCAACAACAACAACAAAAAACAACAAAAAAACTGATTTTATCTAAGTTGTGGGCATCTTACTAATGAAGAGAGTTTCCTATGTAAAAATAGCACTTGTAAAGTGAAGATAAATATTACACTAAGGAAGAATGCTGGTGTTGAAAGGCAGATGTAAAATTAGGCACTTAGATGATGTGGCTTTTAGAAAATCTCCAGTCTAACTCATTTTGCTCTCATCCTAGTTAAGGGTATAGAAAACTCCTTGAGGGGAGGGCAACAATATCAGGTTTGCTCTTCTTATTCCTTTGGTACAAAAGGGTTGAACACCAGGCTAAAACAGCCATGCATTTGTTACTGAACATTTTACCGACAATGCACTGTGCTAGGTACTGTGATCCTACTGTCAGCAGGTAGGTATTTGTTCCACTGTAAGTCACAGGGGTTTCCCCGTCAGCATTCCCAGGTCACTCTGAGATTCCCAGAGTTTAGTTCTCTTAGCAGTGTGTTGTGTTTGGAGGGAGGTCAGCTCAGAAAGCTAGCTAGTCAGCTCTTCGCACTTTTCAGAGGTGAGCTCAAGATACCCTCTATTAGTTTAAACAGTTTTGAATCTTAAAAATCCAAATGTAATTTCTAGTAGTATTGTAGTTATAACTACACGTTAAGTTGAATGGACCTTTAAAAATAAATAACTAGGCTATGAATAACTAGTTTTATTAACTGGCAGAATTGATTGAATTTTTTAATTTACAGTCTTAACACATTTTTTAAAAAAAACATTAAGTGTAACACATTTTAGTAGTAGGATTCTGTATACCTGGCTAAGAATCCAGGTACTGTGGCTCTACTGTTTAGTGGCAAACTCTGGAAGTTAAAGCATCGAGGATAAGAAAATGTGGGGTTTTTTGTTTGTTTGTTTGTTTTTATGTAAGACAGGCGTCATTACATGGAAAATGATCCACAGGAGGACAAATATTTCCAACAATTTGGGTTATATCTGGTACTTGGTTGAATTTTAAACTGAAAAGTGAGATTTTTGCGTGAGTTATTGAAAACAGTTCTAAATGCAGTGCAGCTGGTGAATGAGGCAGAATGAAGCTTGTTCATAGATTTCGGATAACAATTCTGAAAAACGTGCTTTATAGATTAAGATTTATTGAAGTATAAATATGTAGTAATGCTATAATGTATTTTTAAGTTATACAAGAAAGGTAGGGACTTGTGTTTGGGTCTTTTCTCTGTGGCTGAGAGGAAACACTTTAATGTCCAATAAAGCTGTAAACACCTCTGCTCTAAGGTAGCATGACCTGGAATCGTGTTCCTTATTTGTTTATGGCTGGTTCTTTCCCAGTAGGTTTCTGAGGTGGCACATTTGATGACTGCTGGGATGACAGAGTAGGTAATAGGGTGGAACGCCAGACTTAGCAATTTTAGGGGTAGATTTGGTAGAGTGGAAGCACAGAAAAGGCGGTACTAGAGTTGGCAGATAGGTGTTGTCTTTCCGGCTCTGACCCTTGTGTATCTGTTGGGAAGGAATTTCAGACAAAGGACTGGTCTAAAACCCCTCATGGTATAAAGGAAAAGGAAAGCAGTGGGATGTATATTTAACTGACTCTGGCTAGGCGTAAGTCTCCACTAGACAGATAATTTACAGTAACAGGTAGTGATTGCTGTCTTCAGAACTGTCCCCACACAGATCATCATAATTTGGGGGTACCCAGTCTGATGAAGTAGACATGAGCAGGTGGCAAGCAGCAGCCTAGCCAACACCTTTCTGGTTAACATGTGAGCACTTCTGTGAAGGCATGCACACTAATGGGCCCAACAGGGTGTCTGGTGATTTTATATTCACAGATGTTTGACCATTAGCAGCCTGTCTTAGATTCGTGTGAGCTTCGGGGAGGGTGCCTGCTAAACATGCTTGGAGTACTTAATCATCTAGAGTTGTGGACTAGGAAAACAAGACCCAACAATCTCGGAACTTGTGACTTGGAAATGGCCACTTAGAACTGCAACACAACCTAGTTCTGTGGATTCCACAGGCTAGTTTGTTTGTTTGCTTGCTTATTCTGTGAAGAGTGATGGTCTTAGCCAGGGTGGTGGTGCACACCTTTAATTCCAGCACTCCAGAGGCAGAGGTAGGTGGTTGTTTGTGAGTTCAAGGCAAACTTGGTCTACAGAGTGAGTTCCAGGACAGCAAGGAGTAGGACTACACAGAGAAACCCTGTCTCAAAAAACCAAATTAAAAAAAAAAAAAAACAAAAAGATGGCAGTACAAGTTTAATAAACTTGAAAGTTATTATATATACCCATTTAAATTTTCCACAACGCAGAAACAAAAGATGAAAAAAGACATCAGATTTAGCCAGAAATGGTGGTAATCTGGTTTATTGTCCTTCCAAATTTAGCTCTATACACGTTTAAGCAAACACCTTTAAAATAACAGTCTTGGATTGAGTACAGGCACCAACTAAAGTGCCTTACTCTGCTTTAATCCTCAACAGACCTGAGGTCGTTACATAGCTCCATCTACCGTAGAGAGACTGGTTTTCCCTCCCCCACTGCTGTAGGCATTTTCCATAGTTATAGTATTCCTTTGCAGTCCATCTAACCCATCTCTACTGATGGGTTTGTAGGTTCTTTATGCATAACAGATACAGTTGCTATCCATAAACATAGATTCTACTACCTATGTAGTTGTCCCTTTAACACAAATAACTAGAAATGAATTCATTGGGTCAGGAAGTACATATTTGACATTTTTGAGGAAATACAACTTTAAAAGTTGGACCAATAACTCCATTAATAGCAAGAACGCCTGTTTGCCTGCTCTCCTGACAGTACTGCAGCCTGAAAAGGTTTTGCTCGTCTTACAGACCAGGTCTTTTTATCATTTTCTTTTTTCTTTGTGTGTGTGCATGCATGTATGTGTGTGCACGCGTGCATGTGCGCCTTTATTAGTAAGAAGGAACATTTTTTTTTTGTTCATTGGCTGTTTTATGTCCTGTTTTGGTCTTGATCTTTTCTTCCTTTGTTCTAATTATGAAAGTATAAATGACTACATTAACATCATAAGAGAGACAAATGTAAGACCATTTTCCCAGGTCAGTTCCATTTTCCAGTTTACTGTACATCCTAGTACAGTTTGTGCACATTTCCATGTGAATATACAGAAATGTGGACACCCTTTAAATAAACGGGATTATTATGAATTTTAAGACATCTTTGTCTTATATATTCTGGTCTTCATACTCCTGGAAGGTGGATGGCTGGCTGTAAGGCACTTGTTGCCTGACACTCTCCTCCATCTTCTGACAGATAGCTGTAGAGTCTTCACCTCTGTAGAGTACTCATTGCCCACAGAGCCGCCTTACCCACACTGGACAGCCCTTATCTGTTTGGGAAAAGGAGAGAGAAGAAACCTATTTGCATTTCCCTGACGAATAGTGAAGTTGGTCATTTATAATTTCCGGAGGATTGTTCATTCATGCTTCTATTGCCTTTGTACTGGGTTATGTGGGTATCTGTGTTTGTTCAGCATCTCTTTCCTCATTTATGACAACAGTATCCCTATTTCTTGTGGTTAACCCATTCCATATGGCTTTGGTGAGCACATGACCAGGCTCGTCTCCCGAGTCACACTAGCCACAGTGATTAAACAGCGGGCATCAATCTGAAGCAGGCTAAGGAGAGTGCTCAAGAAAACAGCAAATCCTGGAAAGAAGGTTTTGGAGACACTGGAGACCCAAGGACGACAGGAGCCTGCACTTTTCCTATGTGGAGAAAGTCTCTGAGGAGAAACTCAGAGGCTAGCAGAGATGGTGAAAAACTAAGTTTTGATGTCATTTTTCTGGAGGCCCTAGATCCAGTTGTGCCTAAAGCCTGCCCTACCTCTGGACTTTAAAGTTTGTGAGCCAATAAAGTCCCTTTCTTGTTTAAGATAATTGTATTTGTCCTGATTAATATAGGGTATTTGTATTTTCTTGTTGATTTGTAGAAAACTTGTAGTTTTAATTCTAGATTCACACATTATATAAGTTAATAAAATTAGCAATGGCCTTATATAATTTGGACTCTGTCAGCCTCTGCCATGTGTTACTTTACCCTCTCCCCTCCCCGATTCACACACCATTCCCATACTTGACATTCTAACAGTGGCTTTCATTAAGTCTGAACAACTTTTCATACATTGTCTCCAACAGATTAATTGGGTCCAGGTATGTTAAACTGCTGAATCTGCTAGGTGTCTATTGCTGTGATAGACACCATGACCGAAAGCAGCTGGGGGAGGAAAGAGTTTACTTCATCTTACAACTCTCAGGTTACTTGAGTTCCTGCCCAGACTTGACTTCTGTCTCTGAGTTCAGTCAGGGCAGGAACTCCAGACAGAAACTTGAAGAACTGATGTAGAGGCCATGGAGGAATGCTGGTTTGGCTTGTGCCTAATAGCGTCTTAAACCTGCTTTCTTAGAGCAACCAGGGCCACCAGCCTAGGGGTGACACAACCTGCAGTGAACTGGGCCCTCCCCATCTCTCATCAATCCAGAACATGCACCACATGCTCCACGGGCCAGCACGGTGGGGGCACTAGCTTGTGTCACATTGACGGCCAGCACACTGCTGTACCTAGCAAACATGGCTCAGGGCACTGCCTTCACACTTACTGCCTGTGGTCCTGGGAGCTCTGCACAATTACCTTAACCCAGCATGGGTTTTTGGGAGAAGGGCACTCTATTTTAGATCCATTGTCTTGAACCTCTGTGAGCCCAATACCTAGTATGACGGAAAGAATCTTATGCAAGTTTATAGGACATTTTCTTGATTAATGTGGAAGAGCCCGGCTCATTGTGGGTGGTGTCACCCCTCATCAGGTGGTCCTGGATGATGTAAGAATGTGGTCTGAGTAAGCACTGAGCACCAGTAAGCACTCCTCCATGGTCTCTGCAGCAGTCCTGCCTCCGGGTTCCTGCCCAGCCTGAGTTCTTTCCATGATGAACTATGATGTGAAAGTCTAAATGAAGTAGACTGTTTACTCCCAAGTTGCTTTTGGTCGTGGTGTTTTATCACAGCAATAGAACCCTAAGATACGTGTGTGTGTGTGTGTGTGTGTGTGTGTGTGTGTGTGTGTGTGGTTTACACACTGTATGTAGTGGTTTGAAAGAAAAGGCCTTCATAAAGAGTGGCACTATTAGAATGTATGACCTTGGAGGAAGTGTAATGATGGAGGAAGGTCATTGGTTAAATAAAGAAACTGCCTTGGCCCTGATAGGACAGAAAATTAGGTAGGCAGAGTAAACAGAACAGAATGCTGGGAGAAAGAGGAAGTGAGCACAGACACCATTTCCTCTCCTCTCTGGGGCAGACGCGATGAAGCTCTGACCCAGGATGGACATAGGCTAGAATCTTCCCGGTAAGTACACCTCGTGATGCTACATATATGAATAGAAATGGGCCAAGCAGTGTTTATACGAATACAGTTTGTGTGTTGTTATTTTGGGGCATAAGCTAGCTGGCGGCCAGGAGCCGGGTGGCAGGAACGCAGCCCATGGCTCCTACTACAGTGTGTCACTGTGTGTGTGTGTGGGGGGTGAGGTCTTCAATGCTCAAGCTACACCCAATGCAACAGTTCAGTCTTCTTCCTGTTGCCTGTGGATCAAGTTATAGAACTCTTGGCTCCTTCTCCAGCACCATGTCTGCCTGCATGCTGCCATAATAATGGACTAAACTTCTGAAACTGTAAGCCACCCCAATTAAATATTTTTTCTCTTTTCCTTTATAAGAGTTGGTGTGGTCATGGTATCTCTCCAGATCAATAAAATTCTAAGACTATAAATATGTGTGTGTGTATGTACACACACACACACACACACACACACACATGTGGCATCATGCAGATGAAGTCTATAGTGCTAGCATACTACTTGTGGACTCAAGTTTGAGGTAGTTTTTTATTTTTATATATTTTCTACTGTATATCCTACATAAGATAATACATAAAAATGTGGTGCTGGTGGATGCCTTTAATCCCAGCACATCTTTTGAGTTTCAAGCCAGCTTGCTCTGCATACACCCTGTTTCAAATAACAAAAGCCCTCAGACTATAAAGAAGCATTTAAGAAACTAAATGGTCTTTGTTTTCCACATTAGTCCTCGCCATCATGTTGCTCCTTTGCCTGGAACCTCCCATAGTCTCTCAGTGCATTCAGAAGTGAAACCCTGAACCCCTTTGCACACCCTCCAGAATGTGAATCACTGCCTTGTCTAGGATGCCAATTTCCCATGTATTATTTTCTCCATTAGTCACTGGTAGCCATCTGGGCCATCAGATTCCGTCTCCATACTCTCATTGCTTAAGTTCAAGTAATCCTTACTTCACTGAACGATGGCCCCAGGATGAAGTGGTGCTGGCAATTAGAGAAGCTGAAGAGAAGACAGTTTTATCAGCTGTAAGTGAAAAAGTGGAAGGTTTTCATTTAAGGGAAGAAAAAAGACCTGACGATGTTCCAGTAAGAATGAATCTTGTGAAATTGTGAAGGGAAATTTTATTATTAGTCTAACATCTCAAAATGCAAGTTGTAGACTTGGTGCACAGTGAGTGCTTAAATCAGGAAATGGTGTTAAGAATGCAGTACTGTTTACGTGATACAGAGGGTCAAATCTTCCAAAGTGCACAGCAACCACAGCGAGGGACTACACACTCTAGCTATGTAGCTGGTTGGTACCAGCTGATGCTTCAATTGTCTCCATAACCATAAAGGACCCTTGTAACATGAGGGCCTGCTTGTTGGGATTTCTGTCCTGCTCGGTTCCCACAGTCTTTAGGTACCAAAGAAAATCACACAGAGTCTACATAGATATAAACTGATTGGCCCATTAGCTCAGGCTTCTTATTAGCTCTTATTACTTATATTAGCCCATTATTCTTATCTATGTTAGCCACATGGCTCGGTACCTTTTTCAACGGGGCAGGTCACATCCTGCTTCTTCAGTGTCTGCACAGAACTCGGGAGGAATGGGTTTTCTCCTTCCCAGAATTCTCCTGTTCTCTTTGACCCGCCTCTACTTCCTGTCTGGTTGTCCCACCTATACTGCCTGCCTGGCTACTGGCCAATCAGTGTTTATTTAAAACATAATTGACAGAATACAATTGTCCCACACCAGACCCTTCTCCTGCTCACAACCTAAAGTTGCATAAAGTCTGCAGTTCATCAGCAGGACACCACAAACACACATGTGTCTATTTCTTTTGCCTCTATAATCTGCCCTTCTCTCATTCCATCTTGTCAGCCCATGCATTGCTGCAGCACCAGTACCAATAGCATCTCTTCAGGATGGTTTTGCATATTTATGATTTCAGGGGAGTATACACTGGCTGGTTTCCTTAGAACTGTTACCACTGAGAATGGCTGGTAACCAGTGCTGGGACCAGCTAGCTCCATCTCTCGGAAAAATTGCAAGAACTTCTGGTAGCTGATGGTTCTGGCTGGAAGAAGAGCAGCAAAGACACTAACACTAGGTAGGATTTGAGTCACTGGCACACAAAGTTTGGAACTGTTAGTTAGGAACTGAGAACCTCTATCACTAATACAAAGGGTCATGTACTTTTCCTATTCACAGTCTATCTGGACTTAGCAAGACTGTCAGCTGACTGGTGAAGTTCTATGCCTTATGGGCATAGCCCCCATGGATATCATGGAACTACAGTATTTACAGGACCACAATACCACAGCTCCATTTTGTTCAATATCGGTCTGCATTATTGAAAATTAAACTAGCCGTGCTCTGTGCACCATAGGGATTCATGCTCACGAGGAAACCAAAACTAGACCAATACCAACAAATCACGGAGACAAAGTGGCATGGAATTTATACTCAGTTTATACTCATAGGACCCAACTCTCCATCTCTAGAGGATATGTGTGACGTCAGCATTAATAACACTTTAATCACAGGATTTAAGGTTTCCTTGCATTCTCTGAAGTAATTTCTGATATGCACTTGGTAATTTAGACTCAATAAAGGTTTGAGTTAGCCGGCGGTGGTGGCGTACGCCTTTAATCCCAGCACTCGGGAGGCAGAGGCAGGCGGATCTCTGTGAGTTCGAGGCCAGCCTGGTCTACAAGAGTTAGCTCCAGGACAGGAACCAAAAGCTACGGAGAAACCCTGTCTCGAAAAATCAAAAAATATATATATATATAAAAAAATAAAGGTTTGAGATTCTAAGATGAATATATTTTCCTCATAATTTTGATTGAGACTTTCCACATTTAGTTTTAAATATGGTAAGTTCCACATTAATGTCTTATATTTTATAATGATATTGCTGTGAATTGTAAGAGATTTTCTTAGATTATATAAAGGGTAAGAATTTCTATTTTTTAAATGGAGCATGGGCTGGACATTGATTAAAACCTTTTTCACGTGTGGGATCATAATCTGTGCACCAGACTTTCCCATAGCTGTCACATTCATGCAATTCTTCCTCCTTAGGAAGAATCTTTTTCTTCCTTCCTCCCTTCTTTTTCTTCCTTCCTACTTCTTCTTTTTCCATCCAAGGCAGGGTTTCTCTGTGTAGCCCTTGCTGTCCTGAAGTTCGCTATGTAGATCTGCCTGCCTTTGCCTCCTGAAGGCTGAAGTTAAAGGCATGCGCCATCACCACCTGGCTAGAATGGGTTTTCTTAAAGTTACCATGATCAGGTTTGTTAAAACGTCTGTCTGCTAACCCGAACTGAGGGTGGTTTCCCTTCTATGTGCATCCTTTGATATTCAGTGACACTGGTCACAGTTCCGAAAGGTTTCCTGTAAACAGATGTTTCCTGTCCCAACTCCTGGGTCCTAAATAACCGACTCAGAGGCTGAATATGAATTATAAATGCTTGGCCGAAAGCTCAGGCTTGCTACTAGCTCTTACACTTAAATTAACCCATTACTATTAATCTATGTATTGCCACATCGCTCACGGCTTTACCTGTCCTCTAGCATGTCTTACTTCCTAGGCAGCTAGGACGTCTGCCTGACTCCACCCCCGCTCTTCCCATCATTCTGGTTGACTTTCCCGCCTAACTTCCGGTCTGGCTACCGGCCTGTCTTGAGAGTACACATACTCAGTGTACAGAAGGGTCATTCCCAGCAATTTCCCAAGGGTATTATTTTTGCGGTTTTTCTCCAACGTGTATTCTCTGATGGTTAAAGAGATCAACGCTCCTACTAAAGCTTCTGCCGCACTTAGCACATGGGTAGGGTTTCTCTTCAGTGTGGCTTCTCCGGTGTTTGATACGGCCTGAATTCTGACGGAAACATCGGGTGCACAGCGAGCACTCAGAGGGTTTTTTTCTTGTGTATATTCTACGGTGAAGGATGAGGTCAGAACTCTGACTAAAGGCTTTGCCGCAACTATCACAGTGGTAGGACTTTTCACCCGAATGCATTCTCCGATGTTTCGTGAGGTCTGTGCTTTGACTGAAGCTTTTATCGCACAGATCGCATGTATATGGTTTCTCGCCAGTATGTGTTCTTTGATGCTTTACGAGGTCTGAACGGCGACTGAAACTCTTGGCACAGTCACTGCAGGGATAGGGTTTTTCCCCGGTGTGGATTCTCTGGTGGAGAACAAGGTTGGAGCTCTGACTGAAGGCCTTCCCACACTTACATTCATAGGGCTTCTCCCCAGTGTGGACTCTATGATGTTTAATAAGATCCGACCTCCTACTGAACGTTTTACTGCACTGACCACACGGGTACGGCTTCTCTCCAGTGTGAATTCGCTGATGGTTAAGGAGATCTGAAAACCTACTGAAGGTTTTGGTACACTGGTTACATAGGTAGGGTTTCTCTCCGGTATGAATTCTCTGATGCAGAATAAGGACCGAGCTCTGATTAAAAGCCTTTCCACATTCGTTACATTTATATGGCTTCTCTCCAGTGTGAATCCTTCTGTGTTTAATAAGGTCTGAGTTCTGACTGAAACGTTTGCTACACTGATTACATGAATATGGTTTCTCCCCAGAGTGGATTCGCTGATGGAGAATAAGATCGGAGCTCTGACTAAAGGCCTTCTTACAAGCTTTACACTTATATGGTTTCTCCCCAGTGTGGGTTCGCTGATGTTTTATAAGATCAGAGCTCTGGCTGAAATGTTTATAACACTGGCTACACATATAAGGCTTCTCTCCAGTGTGGATCCTCTGATGTTTGACCATGTCTGAGTGCTGGCTAAAGCTTTTGCTACAATGACCGCACGGGTAGGGTTTTTCTCCTGTGTGGATTCTCTGGTGTATGATGAGATCCGAGCTCTGGCTGAAGGCCTTCCCACACTCCTTACATTTGTAAGGCTTTTCCCCAGTGTGGACTCTTTGATGTTTGACAAGGTCTGAGCTCCGACTAAAGCTTTTAATACACCAATTGCATGGATAGGGTTTCTCTCCAGTATGAATTCTCTGATGTAGAGCCAGGGCTGAGCGCGAACGAAAGCCCTTTCCACATTCATCGCATTCGTGTGGTCTGTCCCAGTGAGTTTTTTGGTGTCTAACGAGACCCGTTTTCCAAGCAAAGTGCTGGCCACATTCATCACAGGTATACTGTCTTCTTCTTAAGCGGGGCTTTTCATTCAATTCGTCCCCCAATTCACGGAATTCTTTGCCTCTGGAATTCGGGAGAACATCCTCCTTGAGGCTGCCAGGTTCTTCAGTGTTTCCTGTCATTTTCCTCCTCTGAAGCTGGCTCTCCAATCTTGATCTTGGTCTCACCATCTGGAAAAGTAAACAAAATCCCAATGGAAAATGTGCTCCATGTTGCAGATAAGTTCCAGATGCAGCAAATCAGTGTTTGTCTATAGATGTTACCAGGAGAGGGAAGGATGTGGTACAAGGTGATCCTCGCGGTTAAGGTGGGGGACTGCAAATGAGCTGAGAGGCTTCCTACACTGAAGAAGACTGAGGAAAACTGGAAGAATCAATAAGTAATAATGGATCCCATTTTGTGGAATGGACTTATCAGATACAAAAGTATGATTTTCACAGATGACCTGGGAAAACTGAAATTGATTCACTATGATAATAAGAGTGTGATTAGGTGAGAGCTAATAACTTGCTAATATACTTAAAGCAAGCAGTATAAAAAGCATAGGAAACAGAAGTGGGTTGGGTTTTACCTAGCAATGCTCAGGTATTTAGGCTAAAAGTAAGGTACTAAAGAAAAATAATAAGAGAGAAATAAAAACTGTTCAATTCCTTTGCATCTACCTTTAAGAAACAGTAAAAAAGTTATCACACACAGAAATGCACTGTATTCTAAATACTTTCTACAAAAAGTCACAAGCAGGATCAGTTCAAGACAGCGGTTTAAAGTTGAATTTTCATACAACAACATCTATTGCAAAATGACTCTGGTATTTTTTTATTATGATCTCCAGCTGGAGTTACATTTGGCATCACAAACAAGAGGGCCGGAGTAGTAAGATGGTCAAGTTCTTTCTACTTTTTCAATCTGCATGCCTTAGTGAGAGTAACAAGGAATCAATTTTGATGTAAAGACTGATTTCATTTTTTAATTGTGTGTGCCAGTACACTTAAAAATTATGTATGCTTTTGTGTGGTTCTTTATACCATGTGTAGCATGAATAATAAAAACCCAGGGACAGATACTGGGGTTCAACATGAAGATCAGAAAAGCAAACATCTGACCACTACAGAGACCTTTTACCTCTACCAAATCTCCAGACCACAATGGCGGGATCCTGTCTCCATGAATCCTCAGATTCCACACCACTGAGTTCCTGTCCTTTCCCTTTATGTTCCTCTCTCTGCCCAGCCATATCACTCCTGTCTCCACCCCCAGAGTGCTGGGATTAAAGGATAAATTGTGGAAGGTAGCTGGTTCTCTCCTTCTATCGTGTGGGTCCTGGGGCTCACACTTAGGTTGGCAGGCTGGGTGCTAAGTGTTTTCAGCCTCTGAGTCATCTCACTGTCCCCCAAAATGACCAAAGAAATTACATGTTTGCTAGTTTTGCTTTTGTTTGAGATATGCTGTAGCCCAGTTTGGCCTGCAACTCATGGTAATCCTTCTGTCTCAACTCTTGAGTGCTGAGAAGACAGATGCTAGCTACCCCACCTCCTTTATTTTTGTTTGTAGTGTAGCCTTTGGATGGCTTTGAAGTCACTTTGTAGCTTAAGATGGCTTTGGACTCAGGGTAGTCCTCCTGCCTCTGGCTCACCAGTGCTGGGATTACAGGTGCATGCTACCATACCTAGCTGGGTTGCTACTTTTGTGGTGTAGGAGGTTCTTCTGTCCATGTGTTGCTTTTATTGGTTAATGAATTAAGAAACTGCTTTGGGCCTTATAGGGCAGAACTTAAGTAGGCAGAGAAGACAGAACTGAATGCTGGGAAGAAGGACAGAGTGGGAGACACCATGGATCTTCTGGCTGAGATGGTCGCTGGTTAGAATCTTGCCAGTAAGCCATGGCATGTGGCAATACACAGATTAATGGAGATGGGCTAAACTAATATGTAAGAGTTAGCCAATAAGAAGTTAGAGCTAATGGCCAAGCAGTGTTTTAATTAATACAGTTTCTGTGTGATTATTTCAGGTGTAAGCTAGCCAGGGGGCCAGGACAAACAAAGGGCCCACCCCCTCTCTTCACAACACTCTTGAGTGAAACTTGACTTTATAGGCACCAATGAGGACTTCTTGATTACAGAATACTAAATGGCTACACATTACAAACTTCTTATTATGTACTAGATGATTTCAGGACAGGTTTACAGAAGGGTCTGAAAACGTTCACTCATCTTCCCGCTCAGGATGGTCTCAGACACTGGTCAAAGCAAATTCTCCCACAGGCAGAACTTTAGAAATAAAACTACCGTCTGTCTACTATTTATGAAAGGAAATAGTCTAGGATATAAGCCTAGATTGACTCATGGCTAATGACAAATCACTTATCAAATACATGGAAAGAACAAGATTGGAATGCTAGAAAGAAAGTAGAACCCTGGGAGAAACATTGGGATAGACCTTCCGGAATGGGCTCAGTATGCACATATATTGTGTTCTTTGTACATTTTCAGCAGAAGGTAACCAGCAAACAAGCCTCTCAACCTGAAAGACAAGAACATCCACAGAACTACGTCAATCAGCCTCTATTCCAGCTGACATGGCTGACTGATGTATAGAATGGTCACAGCAGCAAGGATGACGGCTATACATAGCTACAAACATAGGGATCTCCTCTCCCCAAGGGGGCATGCCTATTATCAATTCCGTATGCCTGAATATTCAACAACCAGAGTGAACAGTGCAATCAGTCAGGTTCCTGGAGGCAGATTCATTGTACAGGACCAGTTTTGTCATGAAATTTGTTTTCACACTGCAGATACAGAGCTGTATTTATTTATGGTAATTCTGTTTGTTATCATGCTAGCCTATATAATACAACCTCGAAAAAAGTAATCTAAGAAAGGAAGTAGAGCAGTAACCTCAAATACCTGGAGCTCATGGGTCTTATGTATGTTCCACTGAGAAGGATGCAGACTTGGGATGATGAGGGAATGTTCTAAAGGCTACACTAGGAAAGTTCTCATAGAGGACATACTATGTGCCCTATGCCAAAGAACAAAAAACAAAAGCTGTCTATTTTTTTTTAAAATGGTCAAACACAAATGCATTACAGGAACTGAGAGTTGGAGGAGCTGTTTTAGTTAGGGTTATTATTGCTGTGATGAAACACCATGACCAAAAGCAACTGGGGAAAAAAGGTTTTATTTGGCTTACAGATCCAGAGACACAGTCCATTGAGGGAAGCTAATGCAGGACCTCACACAGGGCAGGAACCTGGAGGAGGAGCTGATGTTAATGCTATGGAGGGCTGCTACTTGCTGGCTTGTTCATCATGGCTTGCTCAGCCTGCTTTCTTACAGCAGCAAGGAGTACCAGCCCAGGAGTGGCACTACCCACAATGAGCTGGGCCCTCCCCCATCAATCACTAATTAAGAAAATGCCCTACGGGCCTACTTACAGCCCAGTCTTATGGATGCATTTTCTCAACTGAGGTTCCTTCCTCTCAGATGACTTTAGCTTGTGTCAAGTTGAACTAGCCAGCACAGGAGTCATGAGAATAATTCCTCCTCTATATGAGAAATATATTACACACACACACACACGCATGAGAGAGCACGCGCGCACGCACACACACACATGTGCACGTGCATGTGTGCGTGTGCAACGGTGTATTTTATGATTATGGAGGCCAGAGAACAATTTATGGGAGCCAGTTCTCTTCTTCCACACATGTGGGTCCTGGGGATTGAACTCAGTAAATACCTTAACCATTTACTGCCAAGCCATCTCACTGTCCCCCATTATACACCTGACCATCCACTTAGGCTATTTTTGCTTCCTATCCCCAATCCTGGGCCTGGTAAGTTTGAAGTTATAGCGCTCAACGGAGAGATGCTTCTACTATGGAACACGGTCAGGATTGCCAGTAAATTTGCCTCTTGGTCATTTCAGGCTCTTCATACTATAGACACTGGTCATAATGACTGGTCACAATTCCAAGGAATATGTTGTTGTGTTTCAGAAGCAGAATATGTTGCTGCTCTATCCCATAAGCAAGGACTCTAGAAAATTCTTTGGGGGTACCTCTTCTCTCAAGTTTAATTTTAGGCCCACACAATGGCACTCTGAAGAGCCTGTAGGATAAAAGCCCTGCCCAAGACTTAAATAATGTAAGAAAATGAGTTTATAATATGAACTAGATAAAGAACTCTGAGCTATAATTAAGGATTTAAGATTACAGCTATGCATTAACCTAATTGTAAAAGTTGATAACACGGGAAATACAAGACAAGTAAAGTTGGTTGTTATAGTGTTCTCTTAAAGACAGGTTGGACAGGCTGAATACACAGTACAATAGCGGTCTCAAGTGACCTCAAGGTGTGAGGTCACTCATTAACTCTGCTGTGAGGTCTCGCAAAAGTTCTAATCACTTAGAATGTAAGAGATTTTAATAGCATTACATCACCACATGTAGGGGATCACCACATGTAGGGGATCACCACATGTAGGGGATCACCCTGATTAATCAGTATCTAAGAAGCATCAAGGGACCTGAAGACGAGCATTCACCTTCTCTGCTTCTGGGTGGCACACTGATGTGACCAATGCCTCGGGTTCCTGTTGGTGAGATTTTCACCACGGTGGGCTGCGCTGCTGAGCTGTGAGCTGGGATAAGTCCATTCTCCCTTAAGTCGCCTTTGTCAGGGTACTTTGTCACGGCCATGGGAAATACGAACTACTGAATTTATTCCGATACAAATGGCATCCACTTGTCTTAGCTAGGGTTACCTTGGCTTTGAGGAAACACCATAACCAAAGCCACTCGTGGAGGAAAGGGTTTATTCCACTCGCAGTTCTATAAAACAGCCAGCATCAAAAGCAGTGAGGGCAGGAACCCGGAGGCAGGAGCTGATGCAGAGGCTGTGGGGGTGGAGTGCAGTGTCCCGGCTCCACTCCACTCTCGCTGCTCCTCTTGGTGGTTATTTTTCTGCTGCAGCTGGGCTGGGCGCTCACCAACAGCCTCTCAGGCTCTCTTTGTGAAGCCTCAACTTCTCTGCATGACCCCTTCAATTCCGAGCCTTCAACTGCTTCAACTGATACTGAGGTGTGCACCTGCACCAATGGCCTCTCCTGACCTCTCCCAGTGCCAAGCCTCAGCTGCTCTTCATGCCTTCAAAACCAGAACCTCCTGGGTGACTCTGAGATCCCCAAGTCCAGCCGCCAGCACGTGGCACAGCTTTGACTGCTTCTGACACAGCCTCTGTGGGCTGACCCTGAGGAAACACTTTCCAGGAGATCTCATCTCAATGATGCTAGTCTTTTCTTAATCACCATCAATTTCTTAGCTCCAGCTAACCAACATCAATTGTCCCAACAAAGCAAAGGTTTCTGAGGTGGTTTGAATGTAATTGGTCCCATAAGCTCCTAGGGAGTGGCACTATTGGGAGGTGTGGCTTTGTTGGAACAGGGATGACCTTGCTGGAGGAAGTGTGTCACTGTGGGGACAGGCTTTGAGGTTTCCTATGCTCAAGATACCACCCACTGTTGGAGACCAGTTCCTGTTGCCTTTTGATCAAGATGTAGGACTTTCAGCTCCAGAACCATATCTGCCTGCATGCTGACATACTCCCCGCCATGATGATAATGGACTGAACCTCTAAACTGTAAGCCAGCCACCAAAATCAAACATTTCCTTTATAAGAATTGCCATGGTGATGGTGTCTCGTCACAGCAATAGAAACCCAATAACGACAGGGCTGGAGAGATGGCTCTGAGGTTAAGAGCACTGGCTACTCTTCCAGAGGTCCTGAGTTCAATTCCCAGCAACCACATGGTAGCTCACAGCCATCTGTAATAAGATCTTTTACCCTCTTCTGGCGTGAAGACATACATGCAGGCAGAATACCGTATGCATAATAAATAAACACATTTTTAAAAAAGAAAGAAAGAAACCCTAACGACAGGTTCACTTCAGAGGTGCCAGTCTTTTAACATGGTGACTCTCTCCTTCTCTTTCTCTTGGTTTTCTGAAACAGGGCTTCTTTGTGTAACAGCTCTGGGTTTCCTGAAACTTGCCCTGTAGACCAGGCTAACCACAGATTCACAGAGATCCACCTGCTGTTGCCTCCCGAGGGCTGGGATTAAGGGCCTGCACCACTGCCATCCAGCTTTATGGCTGACTCTTCAGCCCCAGCTGCTCAGAATGACAGAATCTTAATTCAAAGCGGCAAATGGCGGTGACAGAGTCCTTATACTTCCCTGTGAAACTACACAAGCCAGGCCTCCATCTGCCCTCAACATTCTTATCTTCCAAGACCCTACAAAATAGCTCACCAAGCACTGAACACCGAATGGTTTTTCTTTACACAACCCTCCCCAAAACATGGTGAGGTCCGTCCCAGCAATACCCCACGATCCTGAACACAAGCACGGTGGACAGTGTTTCCCCAAGCAGATGTGGGTTAGGAAATGAAAATCCTCCTGAATTAGTGTCGGGCCTAAAACAACCCAGGCCATTGCCGTTGCTCCTGGCTGCCCACCAGAACCCAATGGTATGACTCTATTAAACACAACACATTCCGGCTGCAGAACACAGAGAAATCAAGCTGGAGCTGACCTGAAAATATTCTTTCTGCAGGCCAGATTTCATAGGGTGTGGAAGTGCTATGGGCCACGGGCAGAGAAAACCCATCAATGCCCGCTGCAACACTGCAGGCTATAATTCTGCCGGTGGTGGTTTAATGAGAATGGCTCCTACAGGCGCACAGTTTTGAATGCTTGGTCCCCCATTGGTGGAATTGTTTGAGGATGATTAGGAGGTATGGCTTTTTGGAGAATGTATGTCACTGGGGGTGGGCTTCTTTGAAGTTTTCAAAGCCCATGCCATTCCCAGTTAGCTCTCTCCGCCTGCCTGCTGCCATACTCTGACATGATGGTCATGGACATTTACTCTCTGAAATTGTAAGTGAGCCCCCAACAGACTCTCCTCTATATTGCCTTGTTCATGTCACCTTAGCACAGCAATAGGAAATTAAGACCCCGACTAGCAGGCAAGATGTGCCTGCGTGTACGATAACGGCACGAAGGTTATGGGGGTGTCTTAGTCACTGTTCTAATGCTACAGACTCCATGACCGTGACAACAATTATAGAAGAAAGCATTTAACTGGGGCTTGCTTACAGTTTCAGAGGGTTAGTCCACTATCATAACCGGCAGACATGGTGCTGGAGGAGTAGCTGAGAGTTCTACATACAGATTCACAGGGAGCAGGGCGAGAGTAACACTGGCTTAGGCTTTTGAAACATCAAAGCCCACGCCCAGTGACACATGTTCTCCAACAAGACCATACCTCCCGATCCTTCTCAAGTAGTGAGAAGCATTGAAATATATGAACCCATCAGAGCCATTCTTCGTCAAATCACCACAGGGAGTAATAACTGCTTTTGGATTGCATTTGAACCTGATCATTCCCAGCACTGGAAATCTGGTTAAAAGCCACAGGTCCTGGTGGGGAACTCACTGCTGGTGCCTTGCTAAATGGAAAGGCTGTCAAACCGCCTTCTAAATATTGAAGTTTCTATACCTAGGTTAGTGCTGCCCTCAACCTTGGCCAGAGAAGCTTCTTTCTCTCTGTAGTGGTCAGCAGTCAATGCAGAGACTGATAGCTGGTCAAAGTACTGAGCACAGTGACTAGTAAGTGCTAAGTCCTAAATGGGACATCTATTGTAACCGGCCTTCTCCCTAGATGCAGGGGACACCCCAGAAGAGGGCGCAGAAAGGCTGGATGAGCTGAAGATGGGGAGGGATTCTGTGGACCGCTAATTTTCAGACACGACACTGAACGCATTGCAGTTATGATTATCTGTACAAGATCAAGACAGTAAGGTATCTCAACATTCCTCCAGGCAGCTTGGGGGGGGGGGCACGACATGAAGGGGGAAGGGTCTCTGGGTAACTGGTAGGGGGAGTGGGGGTGAATGTGATCAAAATGCATTGTTTACACGCATGACATTGTGAAAGAGTTAATAAAAATCTATTTTTAAAAAGAAGAGGCGACTGAATAAAAGCTGTATCTCTAGAATTCAAAACAAAGCCGTATGACTTGGCTTGGAGCACAAAAGACATGGTACGGCTTGCCAGAGAGGGTGTAGACAATGGAGACCACTGGTACCACGGAAGGAACATGCAACGCACCGCTCCTCACCTCACAGAGGGTGACGCTCTTGAGAGTCACAGCTGAACTGGATCTCCATAGGCACAACCGGACACCTCAGGAAACGAGTGGAGAATTACCATTTCTTCTGTAAGATCTTCTTGTCCACACAAGTGACTGAAGCCTGCAGGCGATGTGGTAGCCCTGAGTTCAGATTAGAACCACTGTACAGAGGAGATGTCATTTCTGAGACTAGGGCTTCTAGATACGGAACAAAGAGAAGGAGAAAAATCTTATTTAGCTTCCAGGAGCCTTTCCTCTTAGAGAAGGCTTCCTTTCCGATCGTGCAGGAAGCGGGAATTAACCCTCTTTAATTCAATTCCCCTTACAAGATGCGGCGCTCAAATAAGACTGGAAATTAAAAATACTAAACAAGGGGTGTGACTGGAAGTGCAGGGAGGGGTTTAGTGTTCGCGTCCAACACTTACAAGGCAGCTATCTCTTTTCCAGCTCCGCAGGCTGATTACGGGGGGTGGGGGGTCATCCACTTCGTGATTCCACTAGCACCCCAACATTTCGGACGTTCATGCAGTTGAATAAAGGCTCAGTGAGCACAGACTAGCTATCCAGAACAGTAGGCCATGAAACCGCTCGGTCCCCGTGTCCAAGACGCCCCTCTGACTCTCCTGTGCTGGAGAGACTGCCTGTCAACCACCCCTACAATCTCTCCGCCTTTCGGAGGCTCCCTCAGCCGGCCGCTCTAGGAATCTGGGAGGATCCCAACTCTATTGTGCATCCTCACTCCCTCACAGCAGCGTGAATTAGTTCTTGCAGTACAGGACTGCAGCTCCCAGCTTTAGCCTAAGGCATTGACTTGTCCTTTGCTGCGGTTAGTGATTCTTTAGGTGAATGTCAGGATCCATCATCTTTCATAAAAACTTTATAAAGTCAGGTATTTTTCTGACCGGATAACTCTCGTGATCCATTTCTCTTCTGCATCTGCCTCTGCCCCCCCCCCCCCCCCCCCTTAATCCCTTTCCTAAGTTTATTCCTCGGTTTTCCTCCCACCCTCCTCCCTGCCATCCATCCATACAGGGGACTAAACATGCTAGTTAAACATTCTACTACTGAACTGTATCCCCAGCTGTCTTTTGCACACTCCCCACCCCACCTGTTTCAGTTAGAGTTTCTATTGCTGTAAAGAACACCATGACCAAAAAACAAGTTGGGGAGGAACGGGTTTAATTGGCTTAAACTTCATATAACTGTTCATTATTGAAGGAAGTCAGGACAGGAACTCAAACAGGGCAGGATCCTGGAGGCAGGAGCTGATGCAGAGGTCATGGAAGGGTTCTGCTTACTGGCTTGCTGTCCATGGCTTGCTCAGCCTGCTTTCTTATAGAACCCAGGACCACCAGCCCAGGGGTCGTTCTTATAGAACCTATGGAACCACCCACAATGACTGGGTGCTCCCCTGTCAATAACTAATTAAGAAAATGCCCTACAACTTGTCTTATGGAGGCATTTTTCTCTGTTAAGTTTCCTTTCTTTCAGATAACACTAGGTTATTGACATATGCCCAGCCACTACACTCCACCCCCCTTATGAAGCCAAAGTATAGGCCTTGGATTTTCAATTCTTCTGCGTGAGCCTACTGTGTTGCTGAGATTTCAGACATGTCACTTCTTATTTTCTCTCTATAAAAATGACATTATTTATTTAGTGTGTATGTGTCTTTGCACATGGAGGTCAGAGGAAAAACTGCATTACTTGGCTGTTTCCTTCCCATTTCGTTGAGTTGCAGGACAGGAACTCAGGTCATTAGGTGCGCCAGCAAGTGCTTTATCCATGGAGGCATCTTGCAGTCCTCTTGTGTGGTGGTGCTGTTTTGAAATAGGGTTTAGCTATACAACTCTGGCTGACCTGGGACTCCTGGTTGTCTTCCTGCCTTAGGTTCCTGAGTGATGAGATTTTAGGTATGCACTCCCCACCACCCCGTTTTTCATCATGAAATGACTTTCTTTATTGATATAGCATCATTGTCCAGCCAGTAGAAGCACAATAGTAGTAGTGTGTATGTGTTGTATGTATAACCTTAAGGAAAGTTGGCTTGCACAAATATAGGAACTGGCCAGGTAGTCTTGCAGTGCTCGTGTGACTAGGAGTCTAATGCTGGAATTTGATATTGACAAAGCAGAAAGGAGCAAAGTGGGAGAAAGCAGAGTCAAGCTAGGAGCCACAGGTGTAAGCTGAGACTCATGGTCATGGAATGAAGCCTTGGGTTAATATTATTATTACTGGGTTCTTAGCGGACAATGAGGACTACTGAGAACTCAAGAACAATTGCAGTGGGTTTTCGATCCTACTGCACCTACAGGCTTTGTGGGAGCCTAGGCAGTTTGGATGCTCACCTTACTAGACCTGGATGGAGGTGGGTGGTCCTTGGACTTCCCACAGGTCAGGGAACCCTGATTGCTCTTCGAGCTGATGAGGGAGGGGGACTTGATCGGGGGAGGGGGAGGGAAATGGGAGGCGGTGGCGGGGAGGAGGCAGAAATCTTTAATAAATAAATTAATTTAAAAAAATAAAAATATAAAAAAATAAAAAATAAAATAACATACAAAAAATTATTACTGGGTTTTATTTTTGAGACAGAGTCTCTATTATGTAGCTTTGACTCTTCTAGAAATCACTATTATAAATCAGAACTCACAAAGATCCCCCTGCCTCTGCCTTCTAAGTGCTGAGATTAAAGTGCCACAATGCCTTGATAACATTAGAATTTTTTAGGACTATGTGAATTTATTTATTCAGTGACTATTACTATATCAGACACTGTGCTACAACAGACACACAGGATCTAGAATGGTCTTCAAAAGCCTGAGCCCTCTCCGCTTGAAGATTCATGGAGAAGCGAGGAGATGCATGCAGACTCTTGTGTCATGACCACAGAGTTATGTACTGGTCAAAGCTCAGTGAATAGCAGAACTGGGCAACAGAACCGGGGTCAGAGAAAACAGCAGAACATTCTTCTTTTTGATGTTTGTAATCGTGGTCGTCCCCCCCCCCCACTCTATTTATACAGAGACAGGGTTTCTCTGTGTAACAGTCCTGGCTGTCCTGGAACTCACTTTGTAGACCAGGCTGGCCTCGAACTCGAGATCCATCGAACTCTGCCTCCTGGGATTAAAGTCATGCACCACCACTGCCTGCTGTAATCTTGATTTTTAAGAAAACATAAACCATGCATGCATAGAAATGACAAGCTTTGTTAGAAGACTGTGTGTAGTTCACCATAGAGTCCTGAAAGAACGTGAGTGCTGGTTTCTGAAGGGTATTTCAGAACCTGCATAACTTAGGTATTCTATCAGGCTCAACACCTGTATTTTGATTTACACCTTTTTTGGCTCTCAGGAAAGCTTTGCCTTTAAACAATGATCTTAATAAAGTTGGGAAAGAATAATCATCAGCAGGGAGTCCTTTGCGGCCAGACCAACTTGAGGGGAAAGTACACATAATTTAATCATCAGTAGCTTCATGTGGCCAATGTTGTCCATATTGGATAGTACGGATATTGAACATTTCTTGAAAACCTGATATTCCCTTCCACGCACTGATTTGATTCAGCTCTCAAGATCTGGTTCACTGTAAAATTTCTTTGCAATTTTATCATGTATTCAGTCACTCTTTTCCCAGTACACCCCTCCCTAGCAGACTCCCCAAAGAGCACGGCGGCCACAGAATAGTAGTCCTCCGGGGTTCCTAGAGGGACCCTCTCGTCCCCACTTCCGGGGGGAGTGCTTCTAGTGGCTTCCCCGCTTCCCCGGGCGGTTCGGGCTACCTGCGGAGCCGAGGTGAGTGCTCAGGTGCAGCCCCTCGGCTTTGATGCCTTCCAGCCCCTTCTGTTCGGGCCGCCATCCTCCCACACACCCTCTCTTATACCCCTCGTCCCGCGCCCCTCTCAGGGAGAGCATGGAGCTGTGCCAGGCCTCTTCTAGGTCCGCGGGTCGCCTGTCTTTCATCTGGCGCCTCTGCTTGCCGCGCGCTTCCAGTTGCGGTTCTTTTACACCGATTGCTCTCCCACTTACCGGCGCCTCTTGCTTGTGGGTGCTGCCAGGTCTTTGCTTGAGAACAAAGCTGGTTCCAGGGCCGGATCTCAGTCATGGTCTTGGCTTTCCTTTATTAAACACTCTGAGAGCACCAGCTTCTCTCTAGGTTATTATTTTAAAATTGGTGACAGGGTCTCACTTGTTGCCCAGGCTGGCCCTGAGCTCACTCTAGCCCAGGATGACCTTGAATTTGGCGAAGTCCTGCCTCAGCCTCCCCCACAGAGCTCACAATCCTGTGCTACCAGGTCTGGCTTTCTGTAATTGTATTCACTATTAGATACAAGTGTACTTCTGTTTAACACATGCCGCCCCCTCTTACCCCGCTGTTGAGTTCTGTAAGGCAGGGTAATGTCCTCATGACCGTCCAGCCCCAAATAGAGTGTCTGCACACAATAAATATTAACAAGTTTGTGAAAACCAGGCTCTCTGGTGAGCACCCTGACTTAGTAACGCTAATGTGAGCAGCATTCAGCAGAGGCAGCATCAAGAGTGTGGACTCCAGAGTCAGGCCTATAGTCCCAGCTCTCAGATGGTGGAGGCAGGGGGACCACATTGTTAAAGGCCAGCTCAAAGTAAAAAACAAAACAACAACAACAAAAACCAAACTCAACAAAAGCAAACTCAATGAAACAGCCGTCCGGATTACCCCCCAAGCCCCATAGGTGGGACAGCTTGGATATACTGTTTCTCTTAGCACAGTTGAACTTACGCTATAGCATGCTGTGAAAACAAAGCGTGTTGAAACATTTAAAATGGGCTGATAAAGCTGGGATCTACTACAAAGGCCCAGTGTATTGTTAAGTATTAAATGATCAAGCAGGAACATTCTAACACGTTACTTTCAGGACAGATGCTTTAATAGTTGGTTACAGCCTTCCCTGCCAGGAGAGGATTGTCCAGAAGGGTCCTGGGGGTTTCCTCTTGGTTAGACTGATGGCTAGTTGGGGGCCTGGATTTGCCTTCCAGGCAGGGCTTGGACCCAAGCTCAGTGCCTCCCACCCCCTTCACCATTTCCTGGGTGACACCTGAATCAGGTTTTCTGATCAGAATGGTTACTTTATATCCTCATGGACAAGCTTGCTTCCCCAGTTAGTATGCTAAGAAGTGGGGGTGTGGCCCTGAAACACTGCAGTGCCTCTCTAGACTTGCCCTCTGAGAGAGGATGGGAGAATCAAGAGCATGGGTTTGATTTTATTGATGCCCTTTTGGTAAATTTCCCAGTGAGGCCTATTTTGTCACTCCTTGTGGAATGGGATCTGCCTCTTGCCTTGAGTATCTTACTGGGCCAGCTTTAAAATGTGGTTTTATTGTTGTTCAAGTGTGGTGAGACAGAGACCAGGAGGTGATTGAGTTGGAAAGGCTAGATTTGTTCCTACAGTCCTCAGAAGATGGGCCCTGCCTTGACACGAAAGCTCCCAGTCAGGAGGCAGGAAAAGCAAGGGGAAATGGTAAGAATCTTGACTTACCATGGCAGTGGCGGAGCAGCAGAAGCACATTTTGTGTTTGCTTGTTTGAGTCACTTCAGCGCACCCTGGGAGGTGGAGATTTTCACGCTTGTTTGCTGCTGACCTTGAAGTGGTTAGGATAGGAGAGTGGTCCTGAGGGGGAGAGCCTTCCTGAGACCTTGGGATGAGGGGATTCTGGGTCTGTTGGTTCCCAGAGAAAGGATGCTCACACCGAGTTGCTTCCTGCTGTGAGAACTGGGAGGAGGACTATTTGTGTGAAAGTGTGTTTAACATACCAGCAGCCCGAGCTCCTATTGCACCTTGCTCTTTCCAGGAGAGGGAATGGAATCTCAGAAAAGGTCAGCTGCTGAGTAAAATCTCACCATGATTACTAGACAGAGTATGATTGTCTGACTCCAACATTGGTGCTTTTGTGAGCTAAATCACTTACCTGCAATCTGCCAAGTGCTCTGGAAATGTTTCCCAGTTTGTATTAGGTACCTGACAGTGTTGACCAGTGCTTCTTTGAAATTCTTTTTTGATCATGGTGACATTCACGTGAGCGCATACACATATGGACATGCGCGTGCACACACACATATGTAGGTTCAGTTATATATGTATTTGTGGTGTATAGTTTCATTTATTTTTGGGTTGAGTGATTTTTTGGCTCACAATGGTGAGCCAGAACAATATAGATTGTTGTAGAGTCATAGACAAGACCAGTAGTCCCATTAAAGTATTTGTATTATGTGTATCTGTGCATTTATGTACACCATGTGCAGGGGAATCCCTGGAACTGGAGTTAAGGTGGTTTTGAGCCCCTGTGTGGGTACTGGGAACTGAACCTGGGTTCTCTGTAAGAGCAGTAAGTGTGCTTAACCACTGAACCATCTCCAGCAAACCCTCCCCACCCCAATAAAGTGGGTTGTTTTTTTTTTTTCAAAAAGTGAAGTAGTTTGAGGGAAATGTAGTTCCTTTGAACCTTGTCTCTTACAACTCCTTGACTGATTCAGAGTTCTCAGCACTGACATCTCAGGATCCTTTGTAGATGGTGTCACAGATGTACTTACTGGGATCTGATTTAGGTGCATCTGACTGAGCTAGAAGTCACCCCATTCCCATCCCCAGTGAGTGACGTGAGGACATTAAAAATTGTCCCAGGGCAGAGAACATATGTAGCATCCTTACTAGAAATATATCTAGTCTTACTAGTAGTATATCTAGCTGCCAGCCAGAACTGATTGCTAGCTAGTGAAAACCAGTCTGGCCCATAGTGGTCTTTTTGTTTGTTTGTTTTATTTTGTCTTTTAGATTCTTTTATTTTTCATTTATTTACATGTTCTGTGTACTAAGTGTTTGCAGAGCCCTTGGAAGCCAGAAGTGGACATTGAATCCTCTGGAACTGAATTTACAGAATGCTCTCAGCTGCCCTGTAGGTGCTGGACTTGATCCCAGCTCCTTTGGGGGAACAGTTAGTGCTCTTAACTGCTGAGCCATTTCTCCTGCCTCCCAAGAACAGTCTTGATATCACATTAGGTATCAAAAGTCAAAACTGACAGCTGACCCTGATCAGTAAACACTGCTGTGAACAAAAGTTGGCCAGAGGAATATAATATTTTCAATTTGCAAAGACCACTCTGGTTACAGTGTGGATAACAGGCTGGTGGGGACTGAGTGAGTCTGGGCCCAGCAGGTGGTTACGTTGTGTGGTTTCACACATGGAATAGCATTGGGGTGATGACTAGATTTGGAAGGGCAGACTCCAGAAGTAGGAAGTAAAAACAGCAGGAAAGAGTTCGAGAGGACTGCTGAGGTGTCAGCTACTGGCCGCACAGCCAGGTGGATATTCCTGCCTCCTGAACACAGAGTTTTCTGTTATTTTGTTTTGCTTTTCCCCCAAGACAGGGTTTCTCTGCATAGCCCTGGCTGTCCTTGAACTCTCTCTGTAGACCAGGCTGGCCTCAAACTCACAGAGATCTACCTGCCTCTGCCTCCTGAGTACTGCGTTTAAAGGCGTGCACCACCACCGCCTGACCTGAATCCTGGTTTAAGCTGGCAAAAATCAGCTTGGCGGTTACCCCGTGACTTTATGAAGTATAATACTATGACTTACGCTGCATCTAAAGTCCTTTCGAGAGTTTCAGGAAAATTCATGACGAGAATGAGCAACTGTAGACAACTAGGTCTCGTAGATCAGGTAGAAGTTGTAGACTAACTGCTGGATATTAACGGAAAGTGAGGGTATGGAATCTTGGGGGACAGGGGACGTGAAGAGAGACAGAAAAGAAAAATGCTAGGGCTAATTTTATGGGGAACGCTGGAAAGGAACTGGAGGATAATCATAACATATTCTTTATGATTATAAACGCCCCTCAGCCACATGCACCTGAAGGACAAGGTGTTCAGGCACAGGACTTACAGTGTAATTGTGTGAGGGCTGACGAAGTGGCTCAGGGCTTATATTGCTCTTGCAGAAGACTTGAGTTCAGTTTTCTAGCATGTATATTGGCTGGTGGACAACTTTCTGTAACTCTAGCTTTAGGAAATCAAATATCCTTTTCTAGCCTCTGTGGGCACACTGCACACATGAACACAAACCCATACACACACACCCATATATATAATTAAAAATAAATCATGGCATTTCAAAAACTGAGTAATATCCCAAACACTTGAACAAAAGGCTAGAGACTAGTAACAGACTCAGGATCACCAAGTGAAGAGCATGCATCAGTGTGCAGCCCCGGTATAAACAGATCTGACAGCATGGCACATAGCATTTCTGCTTACATTTGAATTTATCTGGGGTGTGTGTATAGATCAGAGGAAAACATTCAGGGGTTCTTTTCTTACTCTTTGTGTTCCAGGTATCAAACTTGGGTCATCAGATTTGGTGGCAAGTGTCTTCTGTGCCATCTTGTCTTTCCACCCTCTTTGAGATAAGGTATCACTATGTAGCCCTGAAATTTCTTAAATACTGATTGACTTAGTAAGAAAAGATGTAGTTATTATTTCTCTCATACTAAAATTTAAGAGTTTGGGAGGTGTTTAAGAGGCAGAGGTAAGGAGGATTGTGGGTTTTGAGAATAGCCCTAGCTACATGGTAAAACCCTGTCTCTAAAATATATAAAAATATATGTGTGTGTATTTATATTTGTGTGTATGTGTATATATACACACATATATATATACACTTACACTGTATATATGTATATATTTATATGGTATGCATGTACATGTTATTTATCCCTGGGTTTATGTGTATGTGTACATGTTGTTTGTCCCTGGTTATTTCTGAAGCATCTGTTAATATCTGTCACAGCACAGAGGAAATGTTGCTTTGAAGGTATCTCAGACCTAATTTTCTTACTGAATAGTTCAATATATGGCACAATCATCTTCCAGCCACTAGAAGTGCCCAGAAACCTGAATTCTGTCTTTAGATTCTCAGTAGGTTAGAACTCACTATGTAGCCTGAGCTACCTGGGATTCAGTCTTCTTGCCTCAGGCTAGTAAATGGTAGGATTACAGGCTTGAGACACTATACCTGGTCTTGACCCCTCTATCTTCCAAACCTTTATCAAGTAGGTCTCTAAGTCTTGTTCAGTTTCTGTATCTTGGATCCTATTCCTCAAGCCATTACAGTCTCTCACCTGAATGACTGTGGACCCACCTCTTCTGCATACCACTCTGCCTGGGAGACAGACCTTCCAGCCATGCTATGGCTTTGGCTCAGACCATGGGTGGTTTGGCTGTTCTGCTATAAGTATGTTTTCTCTTAGTATCCATTAGTGTTCCAGGGTCTGGCATAGACTTTTAAATGTGGGTGCATAGAAATACCTGGGACATTTAATAAAGCCATATTCCTGGAGATTTTGACTGGATCTGTCATAGGATTCATCTTCCGTGGCTAATTGAGCTATACCTGGAGGTGACAGCCATTGGTCTGCTAGCCCTAAACCACCGTCAGCTTCTGAGAGGCCATGTCCTTTCACACCGTTTGTGTCACTCAGATCACACTGTCTGAGATTTATCTTGCAGGCTGCTCTCCCTGCTTCTTCTGGCCCCTCTCTCTGGTCTTAGTCGTTGGTCTTTTCCTGTGTTTACTCTCCTCTGATTTATCATGCTGAACTAGGAGGCCATTGGAAGAAAACTTTAATGTGAGACTTGTTTAGCAGTCTGCATAGCACACAGTAGATTTTTAAGTATTTGTGAAATAATGAAGGGAATTTTCTGTGACTTTCAATGAGGAACAATCTTCCCTTCTTTGTGCATTCCTGTGACCCCATCCAAACATTTTTGCCGTCATTACTAATTTGCAAGAACAACCAAGACGGGTTTGGGCAATCCATTCCGGAATAAAAACAGCTAGTGATTGAACGTCAGGCAAATTCAAGATATTTGACTTCATCTGTAAAACATGGGATGGTATTTACTGCACAGTGGTATTGTTGAAATCCAATAAAATAGCTCTTGTAAGCTGCCTGGCCCATGACCAGTGCTACATTTGAGTTCCTGTCTTTTGGGAGACTGTGACAGGGCTAAATACTTTGCATGCAAAGTCCAGCTCTGCTGTTCATTAGCTGTGTGCCTGGGTCATCTTATGGTCCTCGGAAGCCTCATTCGGAGAACGGACAAATCATGATTGTCCTTAATGTTATTACTGAAGGTCACTTGATTGTAGCTATACTAAAATTTTGTCTCATGTTCTGAAAACAATCTTGAATAATCTAAAGGTTATCATTCGTATGGAAGTACCGTACCCTTTTAGCCCGTTTTCTACACAGGCACAGTAACCAGAGAGTTGCATTCCTTAGCTCTGCAGGCCAGTCTCTCCCCCTGCCCTCAGTGGTGTATACCAAGTGGCTGTCCTCCATAAACATGTAGTTACATTCTGAGCACATGCTTTCTCTGTGTAACGTGAACACTGTCCACCTCCTCTCTGCCTCAGCTAGGTAGTCTTTTCAGGATGTTCAGAGAGGCCACAGCCTTGGCCTGTCCTGCTCCAAAAGGACAAAATGGACTCAGCTTTGTGAAAGTTGAAGAAGAAAATGTTTGGAGGCAGGACTTCAGTCTTCAGGGAAACCTCCAGAGCCAGGAGGTTTTCCGCCAGCAGTTTAGACAGTTTGGCTACTCTGACTTCACTGGGCCTCGGGAGGCTCTGAACCAACTGCAGAAGCTTTGTCAGCAGTGGCTGAGGCCAGAGGAGCGCTCCAAGGAGCAGATCCTGGAGCTGTTGGTGCTGGAGCAGTTTGTGGCCATCCTCCCTATGGAGCTGCAGGCCTGGGTGCAGGAGCGCAGACCTGGAAACGGAGAGGAGGCTGTTACTCTGCTGGAGGAGCTGGAGAGAGAATTTGATGAACCTAAACAGCAGGTAAGAGGTAAGGGTTTTTGTTGTTGTTGTTGTTGGTTTTGATCTATTGTGGTTATTAGAGAAGCCATTATGAGTAGCACTGACTCTGCTCTCGGGAACTTAGCCAGTTTCTGCCTCTTGGTGAATAAATTATTCATCCATTAGTTCAAGTCATGGGGTCTGTGGTGGTGGTGTTGTTTTCCTAGTCATCTGAAGAGTTTTCTGGCTCTTCTGCCTTGTCCATCGCTGTTGGTGATTCTCCTGTATATCATGAGTCACAGTGCTGGTATTTGTTATTCTAGGACACAGCTCTTGGCCAAGAAATGACACCCATGGGAACACAGAAACCTCTGAGTAGCCCACTGCCGTCCTTGGAGGACCATTGCAGGAGTGAACCCCAGGAGCCTCAGGTTTTCCATGAGAGAGATGGGGCAACCCTACCATTTAGGGTTGAGGATGAAGGTGAGCACTATCAAATGTGCCAAGACTTTCTTAATGACTGTCATCTGTACTGTCACTAAGTATTGTGGAAAATCATGCTGACTTTGAAATATTCTTCTATTGGCTCAGCCTAGAATCTGAAATTTCAATATAATTTTTAAAACTTGGATTAATAATTAAAGTCTTTCATAAGATTTTCTGATGCCATATTCCAAGACTAATGCTGTTTTCAAAAGTATTTTTGTCACACTTATAAGGAAGTTTCTAATAAGGGAAAGGGAAAATGTAATGTTAAAAATTGTCAGCTGCAAGCCAGATGTTGTGGCATACACCTATAATACCAGTACCGACTTGAAAGGCTGAGAGGTAGGAGGGCTGCGTGACCCAGACCAGCCTGGACTACACAACGAGATGGTCTCAAGAAGAAAAGTAGCAGAGCATTGACCACTATGTAGTCTCACTAAAAGTCACACTCTAGAACGTACAGGGCTAAGGTGGGAAGACCTCAGAACACATACGCGAGAGGCGCCATGTGTCATCTGCTCCTGCTAGGGCTGACGTCTGATCTTGTTAGAGAGGTACAGTCACAGACAGAGGAAGACACGTGCTCTGAAATGCTCAGCAGGCTAGATCCAGCAGAGCCACCTTTAGGGTACTAAAAGCCTGCCAGGAAATTTGACTTAGTATAAAATTTGCTGGGAAGCTGCCAAGGTGGACAGCTTCTTTGAAATTTATTCTAGTGATCGTTGTTTGGTGTCCTAAATGCTGTAGGAATAAAGAGAAAGATCTTCCTCACTGTCCTTCTAACTCACTCAACTGATAAAACACACATGCTAGCATATGCCAGTATTATGGATAGGACAATGATAGATTTGAAATGAGGAGGCAATAAATCAAAGTATCACAGATGCCAAGGATTAGAGCCGAAAGGACTTTTAAGTTATTGACAACATCTCTATAGACATGAGCCATCCCAGTGGCTAATGCCTGTCACATCTGCTTCTGATTTCATTTTCACCAAGCAATCTTGTTACAGTCCCACGAAGCTTAATTATTAAGAGAATGCCTTATTCAGTCAAATCTATGTAATTTACATTATTCTTATTATAGTTGTACTATATAGTTACAAGAGGTTGGCTAGTATGAGCCCGCCCTAAGAGGTCAATCTGTTGTATGTTGATAGAATTAGATATAGGAGGACAGAAGCCTGAAGGCCTGACCTTAGTCCTTGGCAGTTCACCAAAGTAATCACGTAACTTATCTACTGAGGTTAATTTAGAAACACCCACTCAACCTTACACATTCAAATGCATTTTAAAAAATGATCTTATCATATTGCCTTACAGAGAACTATCTACTAATAGCTAATAATACCTAATTGTCTGTGTTAGTTTCTTGTTGTTGTTTGATAAAGATTTTATTTATTTATTTATTTGAGACATGGTTTCTCTGTGTAGCCTTGGCTGTCCTGTAACTCACTCTATAGAACAGGCAGGCCTCAAACTCAGATTCACCTGCCTCTGCCTCCCAAGTGCTGGGATTAAAGATGTGTACCACCATAGCCTGGCATCTGTATTAGTTTTTAATCAGTATAATGAGATACCTGAAGCAGTTAACATTATAAATAAAAATGGTTTATTTGTTCATACATTTGGAGATTTAGGGCTGTGTTACCTTCATTGGCTCATTTCTGGTTAGGGTCCTTTCTGTAACATCATATCATGACGTTGGTTATGAGAGTACAGACAAACGTGTGATCACATAAAAGCGACAGCAGAGACACCAACTCAAGGTTAGGTTCAGGTTTTTAGAACAGTCCTTGCAAGAACTAACCAGTTCTCAGTTTCCATAGGAAACATCTTAATCCTTTTTGAGAGCATTACAGTTGATTGGGATATCCTAGTAGGCCTGCCCTCTTAAAGGCTCCTTCAGTTGCTACATCACTATACTGGGGACCAAACTCACAACAGAGAAGCCTTAGAGAACAAACAGCATGCAAACCCTAAGAATGTCTAAATCTTTTAGGACAGATATATCTACCCCTCTCCCACCTCCCTTTCTATCGCTGTCTTGGTTTTTTGAGAGTATTGCTACATAGCCTTGACTGTCCTGAACCTGATACTCAACCTGTAGACAAGGCCTGTGCCTCTGCCTCCTGAGTGTTGGAATTAAAAGGTGTATGCCACACTTGGCCCTCTACTTAGTTTTATTAAGGTCTTGACAGATTCTGATTTCCTTTAATGTATCATTGGTTGAAGCTCTAGCTCTTACTTAGTACCTTAGGGTATGACTGTACTTTTTGGACATGAGGTTACTGTGTTCCTTATCCATTATGCCTGCTGTCTTTTTGGGAACAGGGAAAAAATTGTTTTTCTGATTTATGCAAACTTTCTCTGGTCCCATCATTTCACTTAATATAATACTTATTTTTATTGTTTTGTTTTCAAGACAGGGTCTCACTAAGTAGCTCTGGCTGTCTTGGAATACACTGTGCCAACCAACCAGAATGGCCTGAAACTCACAGAAATCCACCCGTCTCTGCTTCTTGAATACTGGGATTAAAGGCATGCACCACTAAGCCCAACAAGTGCACTATTTTTATGCCTTGATTATATACTAGTGCTTTGTTGAGCATTTTATTTATGTTTTTTTTTTTTGAGATAGGGTCTCAGTATATAACCCTGGCTGGCCTGGAACTCAGTATGTAAATGAGGCTGGCCTCAAACTTAAAGATCTATTTGTCTTTGTCTCCTGAGTACTGGGATTTAAGGTGTGTGCCACCACCTAGCCTTTTTCCATTAAGCACCACTTTGCATAAGTGTCACTGTAACTGTATTTCTTCCTAAATGCTTTGTCTTTTTCTATTGTTTATATTGATTTGCCCAATTAGGAACCTGCCAGAATTTGCAAATGCTATCTTGCCTTCTATTCCCTGCCCACCTCCCTGTGTCCAATACTTATCTATCCCCCAAACAGTTTATAGTATCACATGCTCTCCTACTTTGTTAGATCTACAACTCTTAAGTCATCTTATTCCTGATTCTGTATAACCTCTTCTCCTTTTTCATGTTATCTAACCTAGAATCATCTCTTCCCTTTCTGGTTTATGACTGGTATTACTGTTTGTCACCTCTAAGTATTGTTTTCTTGTTCAATTGTCAATGTCTCCAATACTTACTTATATTCTTTGTCCATTTTACTCTCGAGTTCTGTTTAGGGAATTCTCATTTTCCCACCCGTATCCCTTTCCCCAGTCCTGGAGATTAAACCCAGGGCCTTGTGTTTGCAAGCACTCTAAAGTCACTGAGCTGTATGTCCAGCCCTGGTATTTTTTTTAAACGTATGAGTGTTTGCCTGCATGTTTGCATATGCACTACCTGCATGCCTGGTCCCCACAGAGGCCAGAAGAGGGTGTTGTATCTCCTGGAACTGGAGTTAGAGATGGTTATGAGCCACCAGGTGGGTGCTGGGAACTGAACCAGGGTCCTCTGCAAGAGTATGCCCTCTTAATCACCAAACCAACCAGGTTTTTGTGAGTTCAAGGCCAGCCTGGTCTACAGAGTTAGTTCTAGGACAGCTAGGACTGTTACACAGAGAAACCCTGTTTTGAAGAAAAAAAAATCACCACGCCATCTCTTGAGAACCAGCACTTACCCTTTTCCTTTGTTTTATTTATTGTTCCTCCCATAGCGTTTTTAACATAAAAGAATAACACACCCTATTCACATTTTTAGATAGCAAGATGGTGACTGACAAAGTACTAACAGCAAAGCAAGAAATTATTGAATGTGTTACATCAGTGGCCATGGCATCTCCAGGAAGACTTCCTAGGGAATATTCTCCAGTACAGATAGTTGAAGAAACTATGGGATATCTGGACAACAATAAGCAAAGAGGAAGTGATGATGCAAGCAACAAAACAAGTCCACTTTCTTCCCAGGAAAGCTATTTCAGTCTGGCAAGCTTTAACAAGAAACCCCCCACAGAACAGAATACCTTCAAGTGTAATGAAGGTGAAGGAATTCTCAGTCTAAACTTACACGGTACTGCACAGTCCAGAACTCACACAGGGAAACTGCTCTATGAGTGTTTGGATTGTGGGAAAGCTTTTTGCCATAGGTCAAAGCTGATTAGACATCAAAGAAGTCATACTGGAGAGAGACCTTATGCATGTAAAGAATGTGGAAAAGCCTTTGGTTTCAGAGCAGATCTTGTTAGACATCAGAGAATTCACAGTGGTGAAAAACCCTATGAATGTTGTGACTGTGGGAAAGCTTTCAGGGGCAGCTCAGGGCTCATTAGGCACAGGAGAATTCATACTGGAGAGAAACCTTACGGTTGTGAAGAGTGTGGGAAAGCCTTCAGCCAGAGCTCCACTCTTATTCAGCATAAGAAGATTCACAGTGGAGACAAAGGCTATGCGTGTACTGAATGTGGTAAGGCTTTTAGGAGAAGTTCTGTTCTTAGGGAACACGAAAGAATCCATACTGGTGAGAAACCTTATGAATGTAATGAATGTGAAAAGTCCTTTAATCAAAGCTCAGCCCTCACCCAGCACCAGAGAACCCACTCTGGGGAAAAACCTTATGAATGCTATGAATGTAGGAAAATATTTAGGCATAGGTCAGGCCTTATGCAGCATCAGAGAGCACACACCAGAGTTCAGCTCTGTGGGTAAGAGTTATGTAATTGTGAAATCCAAGGAATTCACTTTGAAGGGGAGATTCCACAAAAATTATAAGTTTCCAGACAGCAAGACTTTTTCTTTCCAGCCTAGTTCAGTTCTCTTAAGAGACCCACACAAACAGCTTACATATTGAAAGAGTTTTATCTAGATCTTGTCTACAGAGACTTTTAAAAAGACGGACCCACTCTGAATGAGGACTCTCACCAGTATGTTCTTCATCCATTCCCCACCACAGATAGAACTGTCATTGAGCACCTCCATGTGAGTCCATGACTGTGGATCCTGCACGATCTCCTTCTAAATGCAAAGGTCACTGTCCAGCCAAAGTGGACAGTGCAGTGTCTGGCAGGAGTGCATTTTTTAAGTTACTGAAGTCTGAAATGTTGGATTGAGGCTATGAAATGTCATGTCCTGGGTCAGTTTAATATCTGAGGAATGGAAGCTGTTTGCCCCATTGCCAGTTCTTTCAACCCTGAGCTTCCTGATGTAGTCTACTTCCTTATTGGTACCTCCTGGGCCTAACCATTGGGAGAACACACTTGATCACTGCCCCCTCAAAATTTAGGGTTAATCGAATATACAAATTTATTAATCAAGTAATTCTGGTAAGAGTGTGTCAATAACTGCCAGATAAATGTAGGGTTCTGTTGGAAGATATCCAGAGATGCTTTACCTGATTTACAAATTAACTAAATATTTCCTTGGGTGTGCTATCTCATTTGAGACCTAAAATACAGAAGTTAGCCAGGCTAATGGCAGAAGAACAGAGGCAGAGTTTATATAATACATACATGGAATGATGAGAAGAGAGGATCTGGAGACATTCCTGTTTCTTCGATTCCTGCTGGAATTTTCTGATTCCAGTTCAGAAGCCAGGTTGGTTTCTTTTGCTGTTTGTAATAGCCTGAGTTGGATAACCTGTTTCAGATCACGAGACTTTTATGATCTGGAAGTATTCTGTTAGCGTAATAGTGTTTCTAATGTACATCAAGGAAACAGCATACATTGGAAGCTGAGGGACACTGGAGTCTGGAGTCCGTCTCAGCATTAGGCTTGCAGATGATAAGCCACTTGAGGGAAATACATATTGAGTCAATCTCTCAGACTCTTCAAAACTTTAATTTGGCAGTTTTAATTAACCCATGATTGCTGATGGTAATTTTTACTTAGGAAAATGCACCATTTTTGAAGACTTGGTAATAGCTATTGTGAGTAGAGGAGATAAAAATGGATATGGTTCTCACTTCCAAAGGATGTGCAGTTATGTAAGATCTGACTTAAAGAGATAATTCAAATGAACCGTGAATTGCCTTTCTTATAGATGACAAGTGTTTTAAGTATCATTTAACCCTTTTTCTAATTGCGAGCATTGAGAAGTATAACTCATCCATAATGGTGTTACCCATAGCAAGATTAACTTTTGAACTACTTCCTGTTTTTCTGTAATTCTAATATTTCTGGTAAAAATCTCTAGTATAATTTTCTAATTTTAATATTTTTATGTTCAATATGCACTCCAGTTGCTTAGTATCAGCATGCAATGGAATGTATTGTAATAAAACTGGAATTTTAAAATTTTGCTTTTAAATCATTCAGGTAAAAACACAGTATGAGTGGAGTTAGGCTGGAGGGTAGGAAGGAGTGTAGAAAAAAGGGAAGTAGCACACTTAATTTCACAAACAGAAGTAGGTTAGTAGGTCACTGTCAAATGACTTGGAAACTCAGTCCTCTCAGATCCAGTTGCAGGCTGTGGCATGGGGGAGGAAGGTAAGTTCCATGTGAGGCAAGCACTGCTTTACAGGCTGTTCCTGGAACAAGAGGAAGAGCAGAGCAGAGAGAAGGGCACTGGCTGTTTTCCTTTCAGCTGCTGTTGGTGTCCATAAAGCATAAAGACTGACATTGACTGTAAGATCATCTTCAGCTCCTCTAACATGAGAATACAGATGAGCTAACTTATGTCTGCTGAACTCATGGGAAAGCACTAATGACAGGAGTTCTGAAATACTTACCACTTGCTTCTCTGAGCCATAAATCATCATGCATGAAAGTTAACTTGCACAGGAATTTAGAATTTGAAGGGGATTCTTTCATTATGAAAGTATGTCTGCATTGATTTCATCAACAATGAAAGATCAGAGTTAAGTTAGTTAAAACTTGAGACAGGGATGTTTTAGAAGGCAAGTACTTATTTTCACTATTTTGGGCTTTTGTTCACTACCTGCTTGCCTAGGGCTACGGATCTAGGAATTAAGCCTGGGACCTTAAACATGGTAAATTTATGCTTTACAACTGAACTATAGTCTCTTGCCCCTCCCTCTATAAGCAGTGCTAGATTTTGCAGTAAAACTTTAAATACAAAAATAGCACATTACCTGTAACTTCACCATCCAGAAGTAACCATCTTGACATTGTATGTTATTTTTAATGCGTAATGTTTTACATGGGTTCACGTTGTATATAGTGTATTTAATATCTCATGAATGTTTCACATGTTTTAACAGCTTGTAAGGCTGCATATTCATGGTTCCTTAAGTATATTTCTAGGTAGAGTGTCAAGGTCCAATGCAGTGCTGAAGGGTTTTGGTACTGATTGCCAGAGGTAATGTATTCACAGCTCATTAGTAGCAAGAGTCCTAATGTTCAAATCCTTGTTAATTTTATATGGAAAATAAATACCACCTTCACTCCTTCTCCAACATGACTGTAACTCCCATGACTACAATATGTGTATTGTTCACTAGCACATCTGTGATTTAAATGTTAGTGGGACTTTTTCATGGATTGTATAAAGTACATATAAAATTGTAGTTCTGAGTTAAAACTCTGGACCTTTTAGCTATGATAACCTCCATTTCCCATGTGTACAATATGATTTGTACTAATGACTAACATACGCAAAACCCTTGACAAATACCCATTACATTTCCTTCTGATCCTATGTAAGAGATCTAGGGTATCTCCCTTTTTTAACATTATCTACTGAACATCTACATTAGGCATTTAGTTTGTTATTTTTATTGGTTAGTACATACTCACCTATAAATGTCCAAGACACCATTACTTTTGTATCCTTGTAAAAATTATTTTTCTGTTTCTACATAGATTTGATTTTGTTAAGGTATATTATTCCTCCAAACTATTAGGTCTTTGAATTGACTGTTTCTACCCAGTGTTTTTGAGATGGTCCCATCAATGTAGCTCAAACTGACCAGGTATGCCTTTGGTCTCACTGTTGAGACTGCAGGGATGACAAGGCTTTTTGAGTTGATCAGCTTTCCACGTTGCACCATGCACCAGCATTAGGATACTCTTCCTGTGGGGCTCCTCAGAAGAGGGCAAGGCCCAACAAAATCAGCATCTTCACTGCTCTAGCATTGCCCTTAAAATGTTCAGGATACTGCTAAATATTGCTGACACAAGACAAAACATGTGCCAAAGACCCAGAAATGGAGAATTTTTGAGCACCTGCACAAGGCAGATTGTGCTCAGGTGGAGAAATGGCAGCATTACAAACAGTTGCTATGGTATCTTTTAATACAGCAACTCCAATATTGTCTAAAGAGCCCAAAGAGTCTGCATCTAGGCTGATCTTATATAATGGACTCCTCCCACTCTCTGTAGTTTAAACATTGTCTCAGGTTGTGCTGGGAAACTGATTAGCCCTTACCATTAGGCCACACTGACCAAGGACTCTAGGTTTTTACGAGTTTATTAATAGAAACTTCATAGGCTCATATGCAGTGCTTGAGAGTCTGGCTGTAATCCTGTCTCACAGAAAGGATGCCAATTTTGAACTCAATAGGTAATGTTCCATATTTTGTTCCTGGTGATAAACAAAACAATCTCTTTCATTGTAACCTGGCCTATCTTCCTTCCTAGTTAACTCATTTTTCATGTCACTTCAATATCCTTTATCCAGAGTTCTTCACAAGAGGGAAATGGGGAAAGTGCAGGGCAGTGGTGGCATACGCCTTTACTCCTAGCACTTGGTGTGCAGTGGCAGGCAGATTTCTGAGTTCAAGGCCAGTCAGCATGGTCTACAGAGTTCCAGGACAGCCAAGGCTACACAGATAAACCCGAACTCCACCCCCAAAGGCTGTAATAGTGACCATACTAAAGTGTCATTACCTGACTGGTAATGGCCATTAGACTGTAGAAATATCTTTTTTCATTTTATTTCTAGTCACTGGCACAAAGCCGGTGTAAAAAAATAACAGAACTGACCACTTGCCTAGCATGTGAGGTCCTAAGTTCAATACCCAGTACATGGGTGGGGAATGGACAGGGCCCTCAGGTTGTCTAAACTAATTTGCATCTTTTTCTTCTCAAGCTCAGTTTGAGCCTGGCTTGGGATCAACAAATCATCAATGAAATTGTTTGCTCACTTTTCTTGTTGACTGGCTACTGTTGAGTAAAAAACTTTTGAATTTCTTAAGCAGTCTCTCATGTCATTCATATTATCTGGTACAGACAATAGGATGTACTGACAGACAGGATGAAGCCTTTTCCCATGACGTTCTCATAGAAAATGAGGTCTCAATATTACATTACTTTTTTTTTTTATTTTCCTGAGTATTCCTAATGTTAAGAGCAAAGCTCAAAGGAATGGTCCTTTATCTTGCTCTGGTCAATCACAGGAAGTTTTAAAGAAAATTCGCAGTGGCATCAGGAAGTGCTACACATAGCAAGTTAGACTGACTAAAGACCGTTTGTTTTTTTAAAACTACCTTTGTGGAATCCTGCTCCAAAGTCAACGTTCTGGCTAATATAGAGAAAAATAAACTATTTATGAATCACTGTATTAAGTTACTTAACAGTGTGTACTCTCTGATGGCGCATCAACACTGATCTGTGCCTAAAAGCCTTCCCACATTCATTACATATATAAGCTTCATCCCCAGAATGGATTCTCTGGTGCTGAACAAGGGCTGAGCTCCTTTTGAAGGTCTTGCCACAGTCATTACACCGATAGGGTTCCTCTCCACTGTGAA